CCCTCCAAGGTAGGTACATGTGGATAGAGGCCCCAGGCTCCAGCCATGGCTGATGCATACAGGAAGGAGTTGCATACCAGCTGGGTTCCGCACAGGGTTGCACAATTTCCAGAGGGTGGGCCCTCTGGATTGCAGTGCTCTTGGGGGGCCCTATAAGCTCACCCTGTCTGAGAGGTGAGAAGACACTCACTGGGTCTCCAGCGAGTGAACTTTGTCCATCTGCAGCCTTTTTGCTGCTAAGGTCTGTCAGGGCGCTAAGGTCTGTCCTCAGGTGTGAGACTGTGCTTCCAAGGTCTTGAGAGCTCAGTGCTGGCCCTGAAGGCGTAACTCCTGAGTACACACTCCTACGCAGAGCTAGATGATCCCACAGCCCTCAAATTACCTTTGATTGCACCCACTTTTCCAGGTAAGGAAATCAAGGCTCTGACATTCAAGGTGCTATGGAGCTGGGCTTCTGAGTCCAGACCCTTATTCCTGTCCCTGCTCAGTCTGGGCCTTTAAATACAGACTCTGCATCCTGAAACTGGACTCTTTCGGCACCATGAGCAAATCTCTCCAGCCACTGATCTACTTCCCATCAGTCAAATGACCAATATTCATTGCTCTTCCTACCATATACTTGATTACTCTATTCACCAAGGCAACCCATAAGACAAACTAACTCAAGGAGCCTATAGCTTTTATAAACAGATGGGCTGATAACAGAAATGTAACATCCCAGGAGGGGACAAGTGGCCTGGATTCCAGTCCTCTCACCAGCATATGAAATAACTGTTGTAACCAGTACCTGAGAGCTTAGCTGTGTTCCAGGTGCAATACACAGTTCTGTACCTATCAGCTCATTTAGTCCTCACTACCCAGGCAGGTATTCTAATCATCCCATTTCACAGATGTGGAAACTGAGGTGTTAAGACCATTTGGTCAAGATCACTCAGCTAGTGGGTCACAAAGATGTCACTCCAATCCAGAGCTGTCCCATGTCCCCTCCTTGTGCCCCAGATTCTCAGGTGCTGAGATTCTTCTTTGTATAGGTGCTCATTCTGCAAATTAGCGAGCAACTTATTAGCTAAAAAGTCAGAGAAAGCCTATGGCTAAAAGGATATTTGAAAGCAGCTACATCACTTCCTTTTACAGTTGGGGGAATGAGACTCAGAGAAAGTAAACGGCTTGTCCAACACTGCATATGTGTGCCAGGAGGCAGGTCCAGAGAAATAACTCAAGTTTTCCAAATTTTACCTCAGTGCCTTAGCATGCACCATGATGCCTCACTAAGAACACAAGTAAAGAGGCAAATGGCCAAACCCTCTGACTAAACTGTCCCCACGCCACCTTCCAGCTGGGCCTGTGCAAGACCACCCCAGCGGCAGTCACCACGGCAACCAGCTCTACACAGTCACTCAGCTGCACTTATTTCCAGGGTGCATAGCAGAGGAAGTGTGGGCTGGGCAGTTGACTTGGACAATTGAAGGAACAAAAGGAAAAAAAGAAAAGGAAAAACCCATTTACCTCAGATACTCTGGGGAAAACACTTCCAGGGCCTGAACTGCAGGCGGCCACCAAGGCCTGCCTTGCCTCTCTTTCTGCGGGCAGACAAGGAGCGTGCCACCATTGCCCCACAGCTCCCTCAGGGTCATGCTACTCCCTGGACCAGAACATTCATTTTGTCCACCATTAACTTTCCTTACCTTGCCCAATGCAGTCCACAGAAAGAGGGAAAGAAGGGAAAAGAGTAGTTGTCTTTGCTTGGCATCCCCCCTTAATCCTGAACACCAATGCAATGCTTCATGAATGTAGTTTCTGGATGACCACAGAAAATGTGGAAACCTTTGGGGGGCCAGGTCCACACTAGCATGAATGATGTCAGAAGCAAAGCCAGTTCTGTTTGGGCACAAAGGGACAACCCAGTTCAAGCCTCAGCAATAATGACCCTCCTATAGGGGACAAGTCCAAGCACTTGAACACCCAGTAAAACAGCAAAGCAAGAAAGTCCCAGTCAGACACATAGGTCTCTATAGGTAGGACGGCCCCTTCTGGAACCTGTGTCCCGAGAAAGAACTGCCAGCTGCAGCAGGAAAGCTCCCAGGTTTCTCCAGACTTCTCAGAAAGACACCAAGAAGGCCAGGTGAGCGACTGCTGGCCCAATGGGGGGAGGAGTGGGGAGGGATGAGAGGTGAGGACACTTGTGTTCATGTTCCCTTGTCTTTTTTCAGACCCCAGCTGGTCGACACTGCAAAGCCTCAGCAGCCAGGAGGCCTCTCCCTCAGCTGTCGCCAGCTCCCCAGCGGCCACTTCATGCTTGTGCTTATGTTGTTGCCGTGGAGACCTACGTGCAGGCTTGAATGGAGCTAAGTGCTCCAGGGCTGGAAGATGGACTCGGGCCAGGTGTATTTTTAAAAGTCAACTGGGAAAAGCAGTCACCACGCAAAGGCAACGTGTCCCTGCTCTAGGGACTGATTCACAAATGCAAAATGGAAAAAAGTTGAGCTCCTCTTCTTGCCTTGACTCGCTGTATAGAATAAGCAAAAAAAAATTATTGCTTGGGTTGCTTTGGTGACTTTTGCCCTTTGGCAAATGAGTATGAGGAGAAATCATGGCCTCCTGACATGGAGAGACACTGTGAGGTTCTGGAAATGACACACCACATTATTTGAAGTACTTTATGTTTATAATTAACCTACTTAATTTTAACCACTGGTTTCTGAACAAATCCCACTTTTAGGCCTCATTTTATAGGTGTGGAAACAAAGCACAGAGAGCACTTTGCTTTGCCCAACATCCCAAGCTAAGGGAAAGATTTGAACCCCAGCAGATGGCCCCATTGGCCCTGGCACTGTGTGACCACAGGCAAGTGACTGCACCACTGTGAATGTTAGTCTGCTCTGCAGACTAGTTAGTCTGCAGGTAACCAGGGTACAAATGGTTACCTTGTGAAACTGGTGTGGACATTAGAAGGGAACTATGTGCATCTGGCAACAGAAAGTGCTGAATGCAAGATATCTTTATTAAATGTTAGTGGGGTTTCCCTGCAAGTGGATCCCAGCTCCTGCGTCCCAGAAGGAGGAAGCTAAGTTGTAACTGCCCCAACAGAGGCTGTGGGGCAGGTAATTGAGCCAGTAAGACAACTTAAGGTCTTTGTAGTAGAGACTGTCACATCCTTGTCTTGGACCTCAGCAATCACCAGGCCTCCAGCTTCTGCCACGAGTACCTGCGACTGTGCCAGGGGGTTCCTCTAGCCATTGGCATTGCTGAGAGCAAGCATGCCCCCAGGAGCTGGTGGGTAAATATCCCAGTCCCTGCCTCCTGAACTCCCAGTAGAACTGAGCCCCAGCTGCGGGGAAGTCCCCTACTACATTCCCTGGACCACCTCCCAAATGACTTTCACCCAAATCCTTGCTTTGTGTTCTGCTCTGGGGAGGAACACAAATGAAGACAGGATACATACGCCTGTGCCTTGGATTCTGAGGTTCCCCCCAAGCTCTCATGGGACAATTCACCAAGTGGAAAAGGTAACTGCTGGTTGGCAGAATAATGACCTCCAGAGAGATTTAAATCCTAATCCTCAGAACCTGCAAATATGACTCATGTGACAAAGGCACCCTGCAAGTGTGATTAAATTAAGAAGTTTGGGGTGCAGAAAGATCTGTGAAGCTCCCAAAATATAATCACAGGCGTCTTTATAAGAGAGAGACAGAAAGACTTGACATAGAAGGCAAGGTGGCCACTAATCGTCTCTCAGAGGCAAAATTAAGCACCGGTTCTCAAAGTGTGATCCTTGGACAAGGAGCAGCAGCAGCAGCAGCAGCAGCGCTTGTGATTTTATTAGAAATGCAAACCCTTGGGCACCTGCCCTAGATCTGGGCGTATCCAGGAGTGGTAGGGGAGATTTCACAAAGCTTCCAGGTGATTCTGTTGCTGCTTCTAGTGCAACGGTTAAACATTGGAAACACCCGGGTAGTGTTAAACAGTGCCTAATCCTACCAGGGAGTGGTGGTTTAGTTGGTCTGTTCAGCCTCAACACCGGGTGTCTGGGAAGCACCCCAGATGATTCTGATGTCTCAGCAGGGCTGAGCACTGGGGCTGTAGTTTGAGAACCACTGATCTAGAACATTGACTCTAAACTGGACTCTTTAGATCTCGGGAATTCTGGGAAAAATGCCCTGAGACTGCCCAGAATCCAGGCCAACAGAACTTCTGGCCTCATAGACCAAAAACTCATGAGCACAGCTGGGAATGGACAGGTAGATATAACCGTGAGGGTAGCCCAAGTGTAAGACAAGAGGGCATTGCCCGGGCCTTGAGACCTGGAACTGAGTGATTATCAACAGGCTCCACTCCAAATCGTCATTGCCATACCACTGGTTGTCTGGTTTTCAAGAGTGTGTGGTGTGCCACCATCCCAAGCCAGGCAGGATCACTGCTGACTGGGGCAGATGAAAAGAGAATTTTGGAGCCTCGGTATATCTGAGAGTCCTTTGATGCTGAATCAGGGGACCAGACTCCCCGGCAGACCAGCAGGCAGGGAGGCAACCACGGAACCCCCTTAGCCCCCGTGACTCTCCCCTTTCATCACCTCGCCCCGGTGTCCACATTCACACACGCACACGCCCCTCGCGCGCGGGCGTCTCCGCCCAGGTGTGCGCAATCACAGGCGCGCATGCGCAGTGCTCGTTATCACCTGCGCGCAATGAACCCTGGGAGGAAGCAAATCCCCCTGAGGCGGCTGGCGGCAGGGGCCGGAGACGCCTGAGGACCCCTGTGCCGTACAGTGTTTCCTTTTCAGTTTCTTCCCTCTTCAAAAGACCAAAAAAATTTCATCTTTGGGGTCGGTCCTCGGGCAGCTGCGGTGCGCGCCCCGCCCCGCCTCGCCTCCTGGGCCCCGGGGACCAGCCTGGACCAGGTGTTGTCGGGGTGAGGTAGGACCCGCGTGTGGAGGGGGTGTCCACCTGCCTGCTCGCCGCTCCCTCCCAGCTCCTGGCGCGTCGACGCTTGGTAAATGTTTACTGGAAGAATCAATCCTCCTAGAGCCTGTGAGGCGAAGACTATCCCCCCAGGTGTGCGGATGAGGAGCTTTAGGCTCGCGACCCCGGGAAGGGACCGTCCCAGAGTCACAGCTTCATCAACAGAGTCGGGGTTCACACCCGGGACCCCTCCCCACAAGGTCTGCTATGTGGCTGCGGCAGTGCTTTGCAACGTGAGGGGTTCGGGGGCTGTGGGTGTCAGGAGCGTGATGCAGGGGGAACTTGGGGGAGCTGCTTTCAGGGGGTCGGGACGCCAGTTCGTTGGTGACTCACTGAGGCCACGGGGCTGTCTGCTCATTCTGTCTGCTCAGGTCTGTGTTGTGGGGCGTGTGTATGTATGTGTGTGGGGGGGGTTGTGGCAGTGGTGGTTGTGGACTGAGGAAAGAGGACTTGAGTGTGGCAAATGGCAACATGAGGCATTGCCCTGCAGGTATCTGCAGGGAGAGCTCCTGCTCTCACACCCACCTCCTGCTCTGAGCTGGAGCTGGACCCATTCCTTTATTCAGAGCACTGGGATGGGGTGAAGTGAGAGGCCTGGGGCCCCTGAAAACCCTTCTAATTTAAGAACCCTCTCTGATTGTATAATCCAGAGAAATATGGGGAGCTAAATGGGAGGAGATGGCTGGGAAGTGCATTATGGAACATTAACAAGAGCTGATCAGCATCAGACACAGATAAATGGCCCAGGATCTACTGCCAAGAACAGGAATGGTTCCCAAGCGGTGGCCTGGCGGGCTTCCAGGCAGGGAGTGTGGGCCTGTGCACCAGGTCCTCAAAAGTCACAAAACTGCTCTAGGTCATATTCCAGCAGTGAGTAGAAGATTCCAGTGCCCAGACAGCATCACATTCTTCCACATGATCTTACTCCACAGGACAAGATTTGGGCCTTCTCACCCACTTGTCCTTGAGACCTGTACCCAAACATTATTTGGGGAGTTCTTGCCTGCCTGGGGAGTCCTTTGTTGGAAGAGGGAAGTCACAAGCATCTGTGTGGACATAAGATAGGTTGCTTCACAAGGCCTGAAAATATCTGTGAAGTGGTTCCTCAGGCTCCAGGCCTCTTCTGCCCCCTCCCCCCAAATACCCTGGTTGAAGCTCATCTTACTAGCACATCCTAAAATCTTTAACCTGTGTTAAAATGCAAATAGTTTCAAAGAGAGATAAACCACTACCTGAGAAGTCACGCACACTTTAGTGTAAAGTAATCTTCAGCCTCTTCTTAAGAAGAGGTCGTTGATATCCCAAAGAGAGAGTCAGAGGGAATGGAGAATAAAGAATCCAGGGGAAGGTTTCCAGAGGATAGAAGTGTAATCCCCATAGCTTTTGGTGGTAGTGGGAGGGGGTATATTTATCCGTACCCATAAGCACATTTGGCCTACACTGGGTAAAAGTCCTGGACTTAAAGGGCAGAATTCCAGCTCAGTTCTTCCACATAGCAGCTGTGTTATCCTGGGCAAGTCACTTAACATCTCTGAGCCTTCATTCCCTCATGTGAAAAGTGGTAGTGATGCCACACCCATTCCAGGGGTGCTGTGAGTGACATAAAGTTTGAAAGTTCTGCTGTCTATAAATATTATTGTCCTTGGGTCTCTGCCACCACATTCTAGATATTGTACGACTGAGCTCCGCCTGTGCATGGAGATTGGAGCTGAGTCAATCTACAGAGCCATCAGAGAGCCAGGGCCAACCAAACACAGGCTAGGACAGCTGACCCTTTGTTGACCCACAAACACATGAACTTCAATAATAAATGATTGTTGTTGAAGCCACCATACCCACTAATGATTAAAGCAAGGCACCAAAGTTAAGGCTCCTGACATTTCAAACATTCAGTAGAAACCATTCTACTTACCTGCCTTCTTCAGTAAAATGAAGTGAACACATTTCTGTCTTCACTGGGTCATTCAGGTTCACCACAGTGAAAACCAATTTCTGTGCTAGAGTCAATGATACCCTCAGGGGTAACACACACAATGGAGGCTCTAGAAATAATTCCGACGTACCATTCCTTTTGATCTAGAAATAGTTCCCTAGTTCTTTACCTTTTCCTTGGAATCAATTTGTCAGCTCTCTTTTTGTTATTATTTTGTCTAAAGCAGCAGACCCAGTGCCCCCCCATTCTAATGTGCTACACTTAAACCACCCCTCTTCAAGAACCTGCTTCCTAAGCCTGTTAGAATGGTCCCCAAAGTAAGAGTTTATAGGCTTGGAGTCGGGGCCTGAGCTGGTTTCTGTGTTTCAAATTTATGCATTTTAGTGCTGGGATTTCTATCATCTGTGTTGGCCTCTTGGAGGCTTTTTGCTCCTTCCTGCTTCTCCTCTGGGACCAGCAATCGGGCTAGCCAAGTAATAAGCATCTGCTGCAGATAGCTCGCGTGTGTCTGGTGTTCTTGAAATATAGTCTTTCTGTGGAGAGTGAAGGGATGGCCTCCTGTGGAGGCCTGGAAGAGCCCTTCCCCTCCCTATCACCCTGGGGTACTGAGCACAAGCTGCCTGTGTTTCAACAGGGGGTGGTCGTGGGATTGCCCAGAGCTTGTCTGTGTTCACCACAGCACCTAGCACATAGTAGACCCATGCTAAGGTGTGGTGAGTGGAATGAAATGATCTTCCTGGTGGCCCTCGCTATATGCCTAGGGCTTGTCTATATACATAGGGCTTGTCTTCTCCAGAGCGTAAAAACCAACTGGGTTCTGAATATAGAATACTTTGCAGCAAGTTATTGGAAAATATTTTCAAAGGATTGAATTGGTCTTGTGTTAAGGAGCAGTTCCCACCTCAGGATATATGTTTATTTCTGAACTGTGCAATCAGGAGGCCATGGCATCTAAATGGGGGTGGGAGGGGAGCTAAGTGACTCTACAGGAGAAAGCAGATAAAAATCTCTGCCTTAGTAATCCCTCTAGGTCAACCCTGTTTCACCTAATGTCTAAGGAACACATCCCCAACCAGAAAAGCTGGATGTAGCAGTTCACCAGAAAATACCCGTGGACTAGCTGTGCTGTGTCCCGCATGCCCCCTTCACTCTGTGCCCCAGAGGCTGACTCCCATGGACTGGAGGAGAGTTTGGTGTATTTCTCCTCCGCTGTCTCCCTGATTGGGATCCTTCAGACCAAAGTTCCTGCTCGGCCACCCTCCTCCATGGTCCCCAATCTTTCCAAGATCTGTTTCCCCACTTCCCCCTCTGGCCTTTTCCAACACTGGGGTGGTAAAGAAAGCCCAGGGTTGCTGATTTCTCCACATTCCTTATTGGGTCCTGTCAGCCCACCCACAGCTCTGAAAGTCTTCATGCAAGTTCTTTCATCTAGTCGCTGCTTTTTCCTGCTGTCATCCTGGTTGGCACAATTGGGAGGAAGCCTTACCGCCCAGGGTGCCTGGGCTGTGCCTGGGCGCTGTCTAGAGCAGGGTGTTCAGAGGAAGGCAAAGGGCCTGTCGCCCTCGCCTTCAGCATGCGTACGCCATATTGGCTCTCTCTAAATTAAGTGATACCAAAAATGAGGGCAACCCCCAATCTGCAGATGGAAAACATTTCTGTTCCTGCCTGCCTTCACTCCTTCATTCACCACATACTTACTGAGCACGTACTATGTGCCAGGCCCTGTTCTTTCCCTGAGGAAACGTTCAAGGTACATAGCTGGCCCTGGTTATGCATAAGACAGACCCAAAGCCCGCTTCTCTCCCAGACGCCAGGGGGCCCACTAGGCAGGGCTAGAACCGGAGGACTCTTTTCTTAAGTCCTGAGCCTTCTGCAGATTCTCAAAGAAATATGGCCCAGACAAGGTTAAGAGCTACTGAATTAGACCATATTAACCCCAAGTTTACCCTTGAGTCGGGAAATAATGACCCTCTTACTCTCAGAAGCTTCCAAATTGAGTATGTGGGGGGCATCTTTGCACACCCCATGAAACACAACTGCTCGATTTTGCTGCCCGCCCCCCAATGTTTCCCACCCTCTCCTCTCTCCCCCACTTCCATTCCTCACAGTTTTATGAAGAGCCCCCACCCTTTTCTGGTTCCTTCCCTCAGGGCCCACAAGTGTCCACAGCCCAACTTGTGGCTGAGCTGTTTTTATGAATGGAGCAGGGGGGTGATGCCGCATTCGGAGACTGCCTCTCCAAGAGCCTGGCATTTCTGGCCTTCCCTGAGCTTCTAGAAAAGGCAGGAGAGTGAAATTTCTGCCACCATTAAAGTATTTATGAGATGCGTGCTGGAGAACATGACGAAAATTGCCTTTTCTGGGCAAAATCAGGGGTGACTGAGGTAAACTGAGGAGAGCTGTGTGGCATCAGGCAGCAAAGCCTGGGGTTGGTCTGCCTTCCTCAAGCCCTCCGGAAATATCTGAGTTTCCTCAGAAACGTTTAACTAGGCCACGGCAGTAACCCAATACTTCCCCTGCTCTGGGTCAGACAGGGCAAGGGCAATGCCTGGTGCCCTCAGAAAAGGTCGCCAGGCTGGCAGAACAAGCCTCTTCCCCATTCTTCCAGCATACACCCCCCGCCCCCCCAGACACACCCAGCTCCAGGCCTTGCTGCCGCCAGGGAACCCCTCCGCCTCTCCACACAAAGCACCTCCAGCTGCCTTATCTGAGGCTGAAGTTCCATCCAAGGGAGGAAGCACAAAGGGGAACAGGCAAGGCTGCAGAAACTGAAGACCTAGTGCTCAGGCTGCTTGGGGGTCCCTGGCCCCAGGACCATGCACCCTATTGAGGGGACTCCTTTCCCTTCAATGGGAAGGTCTTGGTATTGTCCAAGCTTGGGCAGAGGGGAGTTCACCCCACAACATCCCCCCCAGAGTCATGCCCGTGACTGAGGCCAGGATATATTTATAGAAACATCTGGGGTTCACCTCTCCCTCACTTGCACTTCAAACTCTCTTATACTCACCCCGCCCCCCGCCACAGATTCCCCACCAAAACTAAATCATGCAGCAAAGGGGGAGAAGATATGGGGAAGGAAGAAATCATTTTTAAAGGGATCAGCTTTGAGCTGCAGGGTGGGGGCCATTTGGAACAAGAACAGAAGGGGCTCCGAGCTGAGCTCCGGTGACAGGAAGCTCCTGGGGTGGCGGCTCCCTTCCAGCTTCCCATCAGGGAGTGAAGAACGGGAAAATTACTAGCACTGGTTGCAAACTAATCTTCCTTTCCCCCTACCCCCGACAGATGAAGAGAGGAAAGTTGTGGTCATCATTTACCTGCGGAGATTGGGAGGACGCTGTTGATGAAAGTGGGCTGAGACATGATAAAGCGGAAGAAAAGCTGAAGGTAAATTCCCAGAGTCATCGGATTCAGGACAACCATGCTGGCTGGGGTCTGGTGAGTGTCAAGTTCTCGAGGCAAGGCTGCCTGGAAGCTGGCTGCTCATCTCTGTTTTTGTCTTCCTCTCTCTGTCTCTCTCTCTCTCTCTCTCTCTCTCTCTCTCTCTCTCTCTCTCTCTCTGTCTCCCTCTCTCCCTCCCTCCTTTCCCCAGGCCTTTACCAAGAAAGAATGCCAACCATTTCCCATTAAACCTTCTCCCTGCTACACAGGGTTATATTTATCTCAAGCACTGGATCAAATGCCCACATTCAAATTAAGATGTCAGATTTTTCTCTTTTGCACACTGAGGTAAGTGGCTACTGAAGAGGTGATGAAAAGACAGCCGAGTCTCAAATGTTGGCTAGAAGCAGTCCTCCAGGACAGGGTCAGAGTCCCACTGGTCACCCCCCTGCATCTCCCTGCTCAGAACCGAGGTGTGCTGTGGCATCGCAAAACCAACTCTCCCGAGACACACTGACCTTCCCTTGGAGACAGACCCCTCTGCTGTCTGCTTAGGGCATTTTACCCACTAGGGGACAAATGTAAAACTGATCTGCATTTGTTTCTTTAATCAATCACTAAAAAGGGGAGAGATGAATTTATTTTTCCAAAATTGCCTTCTCCATGACAAAGTGTTTATTCTCTGTCCGGAAGCCATGGCCTTTTGGGTCATGTAAAGCAAGATAAATGAAAAGTGTGACTAGATAGAAAGTGAATGATTATTTATTAGATAATTCTGGAGAAATGGTGTCATTTACTTGATTTTTTTAAAAAAGATTTATTTATTTATACAAGAACTGAGGTACAATCAGAGTCGCAGAAGGGTGAGAGAATTCACCAGAGACAGAGCAGGGAGCAGAACAGGCAGACAGACCGAAGACATTGCTGAGAGGAGCAGTGGGAGAGACAGGAGAGGTCTGCCGTGCCATGTGGGTTTCTCCCTGGCCGGCCAGGAATCGAACCTGAGCTACAGAGGCTGCGGACAGCCTCACAGCACGGCGCTCAACCCACTGTGCCACTGGGGAGTCCCTTGACTTGATTGTGAGCAAGCAAAATTCCACAAACCCAAAAGCATTGCATCCCTAAATTAGTTTATAAATCCTGTTATAGAGATCTTTAAATCACCAAAATAATTAAAAGTAAAATCCACAGACTTGTCAGAATTTATATAACGTCCTCCCATGGAAGTTAACTGTGAAGGGGCTGGGCCATCACTGGATTCTGCAGTGGCCTCTGAGGAGGGGCACACATCCTCCTGCTGGGGGTGTGCAGCTGGGGGGCGGCATGGCAAGAGGTGACCACTCATGACCCCAGCACCATTGGGCTTGACCTCAGCTCTGTGGTGATGGTGACAAATTGTTTGACTTCACTAAGCCTCAGTTTTCTCATCATAAGTTTCAGAGCTTGGGGGAGCAGGCCCAGAGTCTGAGGACCCCAGGAGGGCTCTTTCTTGGTTCTTCGATGAAAAAAGAATTCGACGTTGAGACAAAAGTTACAGAAAAGCAAGAGATGTATTGATAGATAAGAGGAAGGACAGGAAAGCTCTTTAAGCAGATTGGGGCCTGAATGGGTAGCCACTGAGGTCACAAGAAGTAGTGCCTATATGGGTACAGTGGGCAAGGAGTAGGGGCTTGGCTGTTGGGGGGTCTCTATGTTGTGTCTCTTGCTGATTGGCTGGGCCCACAGGGGTCTCCTAGGATACTGAGGCCCTCTGAGGGTTCCCACATTGTCCAGCCTACCTTTCCCAAACCAGCTTTGGTCCAGTGCTATTGTGCTATAATGTTGGAATGGAAAAAACATCCCATTTTTAAGTGAATGGGAGTTGGTGGGGGTATCCTGCTGGTCTGAGATTGTTAGTCAGGTTGATAAATGGACTTGGGGCTTGGGGCACCCTGTCCCTAACTGACTGCCTATACCCTTTCCTGACTTCCTCCTTCAATAACATGGCAATGATGTTTCCTGTAAAGATTTGTTGGAAAAGGTTAAACGAGGTAACACAGGGTGAATCATACATGAGTTAAAATTTGTGTATAGAGAAAGATGAAAGCCAGGGGGCTGTGATAGGTTGGGTGCAGAGACGGCTCCCCAAATCCCTCCCATCCTCATATGCTCATGCCACTTCCCAGCAAGGGCTGTTCTAGTTTCCCTCTCATGAACTCTAGGCTGGCCCCTGGCTGGCTTTGGCCAGAGATTGTGGTCACAGTGACACTGTGCCTTGCTAGGCACACCTTACCAGGCCTGGCAGCGTCTACATTTGCCTTTTCTTAGAAATCAACAGTCACATAAAAATGTCTGGACTATTAAATAAGCCACAGAGAAACAGCCAGCCCCCAGTTGTCTGGGCCTCTTGGATCAGTTAGTAGACATGAGTGGGAGGCCAGCTGAGGTGACTTAACCTCTTTCAGGACTCCAGACAGACGATGGTGGTCACATAAATGGCCCCGGGTGAGAACAGGCGAACTGCTCAGATGGACCCCACCCAGATTGTGGATTCATGAGCAGATAAAATGGTGTTAAGTCACTGGGCTTTAGAATGATTTGCCATGAAGCAATAGCTAACTGACCCAGGGTGTGTTAGAAAAGCTGTTGAAAAAGAATATACTTGGGTGACATTCAAAATTAATAGGATGGGCCTCCCCTGGTGGCGCAGCGGTTAAGCACTGGGCTGTGAAGCTGCCTGCAGCCTCTGTAGCACTGGTTCCATCCCCGGCCACCAGCAAGGGTCCCACATGGCGCACAGACCTCTCCTGCCGCCCGCTGCTCCCCTCAGCAGTGTATTTTGTCAGTTTGCCTGCTCTGTTCCCTGCTCTGGCTCTGGTGAATTCTCTTACCCTCCTGCGCTTCTGACTGTACCCAGTGCTTGTATAAATCAATCAATCAATCAATCTTTAAAAAAAAATAAGACCGTTTACTGAGGGGGTACCCCTGTTTAGCTTTTCCCAAGATAGTTTAAGAAAGGATCTGAAACTATTGGCTAAACCCAATACGGGGTTGGTAGCTTGGAAAAAGTGCAGTCTACCTGGGAGGAAGGTAACATTTGAGTAACTCAGAGCCAGAATCCAAACTTTCCCCATCCAGTTCTGATTACTTCTCTACAAAGCCAGTGCTTTCTTCCTTCTCTCAGCTCACAAATTTCACCAGTGACCGTGCTGTTGGCATCAATTATGTCCTGCCTGTGACACCTGCTGGTGTAGTCTTTGAACTGCTGCTAAACCACCTCGGCTTGCTATCTAACATGTGCTAGCATCCTTGAAAATGGGGTGCTATCTCATAGCCCTGTGTACCCCCACAGCCCTGAGGACAATCCTTGTCACCTAGCAGATCCTCTACAACAATGTCAGCTAATTTGATCAAATCACACTGTTTAAGGGTGACAAGAGAGCTGGAGCAGTGGCCTGATTCTGTGCTCCAACCACACTGAGCAACAGGCACTTCCCAGCTGCCCTTCGTGCCTTTGCACAGACAGCTGGCACTGGCCTGGCAGAGGGGATGGATTGATTGGTGAGTACTGGGAGCCAGTGGAAATGTAAACAGACGCTGTCCTGAGTTAGGGTCTGCATCTGAGAGGCTGAATGTATGTTTCAGGCCACCAGGGGGAGAAGTGTGAGCCATGGCTGGTGTCAAGTTATTCCAGAAACCTCTACCTTCGGGGAGGCCCCAGCACAGGCATTTATAAGCCCCCAAGACTTACTAGACAGTTTTTGTAAATTTCCATTTTCCATGCCCCAGGTATTTTGAGTCTCTTCTTATGAGGTTACCCTAGCTGGCCGAGGCAGAAATTATTATCTTTCTTCAGCCTCTCCTGGAAGGACTCTGAATCTTTCATAATCTAATAGTGCAGGTTATTAGATTTAGCCAGAGGAAATTATATGAGATTTGTGAAAGGCTTGCACCAATAAAGCCAATCAAAGCCTCCCCTCTCAGACCTTGCAGGTGGGAGCCGGGAACACTTATGTGTGCATGCCCTTTGACCTAGCAATTCCATTGAAGCTCATGGAAACCTGATTTAGGTTGAACTGGTTTGCTCCCACGGTTGAGGTGGAAGGATGCTCATGATGTGGTCTCAGATTTGAAACAACCTAACGCTACAAGCTTATGAGATGGTCAAATAAATCATGGGATGGTCATTCAATGGACCATTGTCCATTGAATAACAAAATAAAATCTTTGCAATAAATGATGCTGGGGAAATTGGTTTTCCATATGCAAAACAAACAAAAATGCATCTTAAGCCTTACCTATGTACAAAATTTAGCTCACAGTAGAACTAAAACTATTCAACCTTTACAACAAAATAAGAGAACGTCTTAGTGACCTTAGATTAGGGATGATGGTGGGGAAAATAAATAAAAATATAACTTCTCTTTTTGTCTCTTTTATATCCCAAATTTCTCTTACAATTCTCTCCTTATATATCATTTTGAATCCCATTTTCTTATTCCAGAAACTTTACAAACTCAAGGCCAGTAGTTTCCAATATGCAAATGACTTTCTGAAGTAATTTTCCATTTTGTCCCTACCCTATTTCAGTCAGTCTGGAAAGTTCCTGGAAAGAGCATTTGTTAAAAGTATTTCCATTTATATTCATAATTGGCTCCATAAATAGCCAATTTGTTCTACTTTTCTCTGGATCATTTTCAACCCCATTTGCCTTAGTTGAGTCACACTGTCAAAGAAAGCTGAAATGGTTCATGTTCCAATAGCTACAACTTGCTACTCCTGGTGTACAATTATAGACACATGTAGAGAAAAAGGTAAAAGAAAACACTGAAATAGACCACTGTTTTGGTTGGTGACCTCTCTCTCTCCAGCCAGCTAGTGGTCTATTTTTATGTAAAATGGAATTGGCTTCCAAAAGTAAAGCGTTTACTACATAAGACGTAAAGGCAAGATCAAGGTGTATCAAAAGATCTACAGGAAAGCAATTTTCAAAGTTAAGACCCCAAAGGCAAGGACCCCAAAGTCAAAGTCTTTGGTGAGCCCTCACCCTCCCAATCCCCCGGAGTTCATGGAAGCTATCTCCTGTTTTGTCGGGCTCTGGAAAAATATCAGATGGTTTCACTTATAGCAGGAATAGAGGGGAACCAAATATGACATCAATGTAAAAAAATAATAACAATACAAAACACAACAGAGCAAAAACAGACAATTATAAATCAGAGACAACCTGCAGGGGAGGCGGAGGGAGAGGGATCAGAGGGAGGGAGGGAGGAGCACAGGGGACTGAGGTGATGGTACACGGGTGCCCTGGGGAAGGAAACTATGGGGACTACACCTGAGGGGGTGGGGGGGAGCAAATATTGTTTAAAAATGAACAGTGATGGGGCCTCCCCAGTGGCGCAGCGGTTGAGCGCTGGGTTGCGAAGCTGCCCGCGGCCTCTGCGGCGCCGGTTCGATCCCCGGCTGCTCCCTAGCCACCGGAGGAGGGTCCCACATGGCGCGCAGACCTCTCCTGCCGCCCGCTGCTCCCCTCAGCAGTGTACTTCGGTCCTTCTGCCTGCTCTGCTCCCTGCTCTGGCTCTGGTGAATTCTCTCACCCTCCTGCGCTTCTGACTGTACCCAGTGCATGTATAAACAAAAACAAAAACAAACAAACAAATAAAAATAAAACATGCCTCTATAAAAAAATAAATAAATAAATAAAAAAAAAAAAATTCTAAAAAAATAAAATAAAAAAAAAAAAAAAAAAATGAACAGTGATGTAAAAAATAAAATATATATATATATAAAAAATAAAAATTGAAAAAAAAATTTCTCTTTGGAAATTGTCCCATTAAACTAAAACCACATAATAATATGTGACCTCAGAAAGTCACTTAATTTCCCAGAGCCAGCTTCCTTATCTGTAACATGGGGATAATAATAATCACTCCTTTCAAAAGGTTGCTGCAAAGATGAAATAAAATTATGTGTATGAAAGCCCTAAAGGGCTAGGCAAACTTGATTATCATTACCATTACCTCAAATTCACATCAAAACAATACCCATAATTAGTGTTAACAGCTACCTTAAACAGAACAGCCCTTGCCATTGGAACTTTCCTGAAGGGTTACACTATAATGTCATTTTCTCTTCCATGAGTCTTCCTTGTTTTCCTAGAGCCCTCCATTTCTTCAGTCAGCATTAGGAGGGGCAGATGAATCCAGCAAGGGGTATCCCTAGGAGGAGAGACCTGGCTCTCCAGAGTGTGAACCTCAATTAGAAGCCACATTCAACATGGCATGTGATGGGGTCATTCCAATGCCTGAGGGAGAAATCCGGCAGATATACAAGAAGGATGAGGAAGACTGGGGGAGGGGGTCAAGGAGGATGAGAGGGGTGCAGGCAGAAGATGGGAGGTGAGGGACAATTGGGTCTCAATGTGCTAGCTCAATTACAAATTGGAGCAATGGAGATTCTCTAGGAGCCAGGCAATCAGATAATCCATCTGGCCTGGAAAGTGCCAACAGATTCAAGGTCATATAGAACATTCCAATTCTTTCACTGCCTATCATTTTCTCAAATTGAGATGCCATATTTCACAGGCCATAAATTCAGATCATAAAGTTTGCCATTTTCAAGTATACAACTCAGGGAATTTTTGTATTGAATCAAAGTTCAGAGTGGCTCAAGGCAAAACAGCTGGGTGCAAAGATTTCAATGTCAGGTATGAACCACAAAGTGGACCCCCAAGGTCCTGTTTCCTTGGGTACTATAAATCTATGACAGAGGGAGAATGTTGGGTCCAGAAACTGCAGCAAATCAAGGCCGTTTCTCTGTGTCCAAGTGACTGAGCTCCTCCAGGCAAAATCAGGATGAAATTTTCTCATTATTAAAGTGTCTGACCATCTATGGTTTTAGAAAACACAGTTTCTCATAAATAAGATGGTGGCTAGACATTACCTATACTTCCCTGCAGGAAAGATTTCCTTCTGTTAACCTTGCAACTGGCTTTTTCTGTGTCTCTTATTCCAGCCTGAAGAATGCCCAGGCAGATGTTTACATTCTTAGCCTGAGTTCATTTTTACTTTCTCAGAGTAAAGAAGCAACTCAGACCTGCCAGTCCCCTGGAACCTCTAGAGGACCCATCTCCAGCTGCCAACTGACTACAGCTGCATGAGAGACCTCAAGTGAGGTAAGGAGAATCAGTTGAGTCCTCTCAACACACACACGAGATGAGAGATGATGGTGCATGTCACTAAGTTTTAGGATGCCTTGTTGCAAATAGAGAATATTGAACTAGCCATGCCTGAAGCTGACCTAATGGCAGGATGATGAGATTCCCCCCAAATTAGATCATCCTTAGTTAGGGAAGCAGGAGGCAGGAGAGAGGAAGGTCTCCAAAGTAGTCGTACCACTTAGTCAAAAGAGATGGAATGTTAACCTCTGGTGATAGAACTCAAAATGTGGCTACCTCTGGGGGGTGGAGGCTGCTAGAAAGCACAAAAGAGTCTTCTGGATTGCTGGAACTGTTTTATATTTCGCTCTTGGCAGTGGTTATGCTGGACACATACTTAGAGAAAAGTTTTTTGGGTTGCCTACCTAAAATAACAAATGGAAACTGGAGCTCAGGAGCAAAGATAATTTCTATTATAGAGAATACAAAAATTAACCAATTAATTATACCTGCTCCAAACCTACTATATAAATGGAAACAAGGAATTATGACCAATGCATGAATATATATAACTATGTAAGAAAAAAGGATTAATTACGTGTGTAAATACTGAGTGACCAAGGTGCCAAAGAGGAACATGACCGAGTGTGGAGAATTTAAGAATATAAATTACAAAACTGCTGGAATACTCGCCTCACAATTCCTGCTCGATGAATTAAATTACACCTATATGGTGGCCTGCTCAAGGTCACTGTCCCTGGAATTAGAGCTGAAGGAGGTTTTGAAATTGTCTTTCACTGGTTCTCAAATGAGCTTCACAGGGGCCACTTGGGAGCTTTGAAAAGACTTATGTCTGAATCCCACCAAAGAGAGGTTAAGGCAGTCGGGTTGGGCCATGGCCTGGGAATCAGTGTTCTTAGAAGATTCCCATTTGGTCTAACAAGTGACCGAGGTTGAGAACCACTGGCCTGTTTCTATCACTCTTTTCACAAAGGAGAATGCAGGGGCTCAATAGTGGCAAATGGCTTCTGAAATATCCTTTCATTGGTTGCAGCCAATTTTCTCTGATGCTAATGGCCCGGAGCTGTGCCGTGGATAATGCCAAACAGTGAATAATCTAAAAATAATTTCAATTTGGTTTGGGAAGGCAGCACGTGACTTCCCGGCTGCCGACTGGCCTGGCTAATTCAGTTTGGCTCAAATCTCTGTGCCTTTTCCTGGGTATACACTGATAGCCCAGACCTGTGCTGAGGTGTGGAAGGAAGGAGGCCAAATGAAATATTGGAGGGCGTCCTGCCGCAGTGGGCCGCAGGCAGGCTGAGAAAGGCACACTGACTCTGTGGACCTGGAGACTTCTCTCACCAGAAGATTCCACAAATGGACGCAGCTTGACTTTTCTTGACCCTTGACTCAGTGGAGGTTGGGGTTCAGAGGTGTAAAGGAGGAGGGGAGAGGGGCTAAGGGCTATCTGAGAGCTCTTTGGCACTAGGCTGCGTGCTAAGTGTTGCTATGAACAGCACACGTACCAGACGGCTCTGAGCTAGGCCTTCCATTAACCCCATGGTAGAGATGAGAGAACTGAGGTTCAGAGATTGGGATAACCACCAAAGCAGAGCCAGGAGAGAAACTCGGGCCTCTCATACCCTGTCCAAGAGAGAGCATCTGGCCTGCCGCTGAAAACCATCAATAGATGGATGGGTCAGATCCCTGGACTTTTAAGTCCCTATTTTTCAGCTCTAGCACTCTAAAGGCGACATTAATTTATGCTGTCGCTGGCCTTTGGGCAGAGCCCAGGTCTCCCAGGCTTTGCACCACTCCTCTTCTGAGTCTGCGTCCACTAGGGTCAACGGTGGGTCCACCCCAGAGAGACCTGGGAGAGAAGCCTTGCCATTCTAGCCTATAGTTCTTAGCAACCAAGGTGCTCCCACCCCATCTTCCTCCTCCCTGGGTTCAGGTCTGCAGCCCTTGGGGGCTGGTGGATCTCCTGGCCTTTTCCAGTTCCTTTGGGGTATGTCACAGGTGTCTTCCTTGTAAAATCTCCCGTTTAATTCTATCTTGGCACTTGAGTATGCAACATACAGGATCACCTAAGTGTTTGCTACTCAACTAGGTTTAATGAACAAAATGTCAAAGTAAGTTTTGACCAGCATCCAGCAGCTTCATTTTAGAAGCTTATTCCAAAGCTGATCTTTCCAAAGAAAAATTTCTACTAGGAGACTAATATCAAGACCACTTTTACTATCTAAGGACAGTTTTATCAAAGTGCTCCTGGACTAATCTGGCCTTTACATGCTCAGACTGACCTCTGCTGGACAGTATTAACCTGCCAACATCCCCCCCCCTTCCTTTTAATAAGGCCAGGAAAAGAACATTTATTTTCCTCAAATGACATAGTTCAATTCATAAATATTCGCCAAGTCCTCTGCACTACATTCCAGGAAAATCTTGTGCTGCCCTTAGCTGCCAGAGGCATGGCCCATGGGCAGAGGGGGTCACGGTGGGTGATGTGAGCTACCCACTCTCAGCGCTCCTCCCAGCACTGCTGTCATGCAGTCCAGGCCTTCTAGTGTATTTCTTAGAAGTACTTCCGAGTACCTGCTGCCTGGACCCAATTTCAGGGACCTGTCCAGTAAATCCACACCTCCCTGCAGGTAGGTGTCTTCTGGGTTCATACCTCAAAGCTGGAGTCCACCGTGTCACTTATGCCCCTAACTGTTCAGTGGAGACCAGTCTGATGTGTCTGGTGGCAAACAAGCTTAAGTTAGATATAAAGTCCTAGGCTCCAATTCATAGAAAATGGCAGATAATAAACACGAATGACCCTGGAAATACTTTTCTATTTTTAATATTCCTTTAAAATAACATTTCTGATGATAAAAATTACATAATTTTTAAATCTGTGAAAGAAGGAAAAGAATGAAGAGAAAGTAAAAATGGCCTGCACTCCCATCTTCTCTCTGGGTGTGTGTGTGCACAGTCTGGGAGTCTATCCTGACCGGACACATCCATCCTGTAGCTTGCCTGTGTCACACAGTATTATGTTGTGATGGTTTCTCCATTAGTAAACATTCCTTAACATTTTTATTTTATGATGCCAGCAGGTCATAATTCATGTAACCGATGTTGTCTTATAAACATCATTTATATTAGGGCTGTTATTAAATAAAACTACTTAATGTATGTATGTATTTCACCAAAATTTTTTTTTCAGGATAGTCACTGAGTAGGCTCCCTGGGTCAAATGTTATAGGGTCTGAACATTTTTAGATTCCAAATGCAAATAGATAGAAGTGATCATGGATATGTACCAATTTCAACTTCCACCACAGTAACAGCAGCAACCATTTCACGTCACCCTCACCCATGCTGTGAGATGTAATTGAAGAAGTGCATAGGCCAAGTGCATAGGCCAAAAAAAGGATTTTTCAGTCTAACTTATGTATCCATACTTATTCATACTCCTATTTTTAGTGATCATTTATATTTTCAGTTCATTATACATTCATGCCCTTTGTCCATTTTTCTCTGCATATATTAACATTTTCCTCATTTATGAGTTCTTTTTATAATTAAGGGTGTTGACTCTCAATGTGGCACATAAGCAAAGTGACTAATCCAAACATTCCCAGAAATTACTATTTTGGGTGTGATTTCTCCTTTGACTCAGTAAGTTTTTTTCCAGAAAAACAAAATAAAGCCAAACTCCAGCTCATGAAGTATAAGCATTGAGGGGACTAAGGGGTGAAGTGGTCACAGGTAAACTATGAGGTAGAAAAAGCCATTGTATCCCAACTTGCTGACCGTCCTTTGTGTCAGGAAACTGGAGCTTTTTTTGTTTTAAAAAGATATGTGACTTTAAAATGGATTTATGCAAAAGAACACACATGTTAACCAGCAGTTGGACAGTTAATACTACTGTATCTCCTCTTCTTTCATCTGGAAATGGTGATTTCTGTAGTAGACGGGCAGGTTCTGTTTTTAATCAAATCCTTTACTAGAATATATCAGAAGTACTTTTTATTTTGTTTGGCATGATTTTAACATTGTAGTAATTTTGCTGTGGAAAATAAAATTCTGCTTACAGCAAAGAGCTAACTCCTCAAGACCACTCATTGGCATCTTTACATGTTACAAGTTAGATCGGGTCAGCCAGTGGAAATCCTAGAAAAGGAAAAGACAAACATTCAGCCAAAGAAATAACTGTCTCAAAACTATAGTCTCCCTGTTTTGCTTGCTTTAAAATCTGAAAGTCGGGCCTCCCCTGTGGCGCAGCGGTTGAGCACTGGGTTGCGAAGCTGCCTGCAGCCTCTGCAGCGCTGGTTCGATCCCCGGCTGCTCCCTGGCCACTGGAGGAGGGTCCTGCATGGTGAACAGACCTCTCCTGCCACCCACTGCTCCCCTCAGCAGTGTACTTCGGTCCTTCTGCCTGCTCTGCTCCCCGCTCTGGCTCTGGTGAATTCTCTCACCTTCCCACGCTTCTGACTGTACCCAGTGCTTGTATAAATAAATAAACAAATCTTTAAAAAAAAAAAAAAGAAAAAGAAACTTTATAAAAAAAATAAAATAAAATCTGAAAGTCCCATTATAACCACATTTGTCACAGTGGGGGGTTAATGAGATTTGTCTTTGGTTTCTCTTTGTCTTTGGTTCCCCACAAAGGAGCTAAAAATCCATTAGGAAGCAAGCTGTCTTGTCCTAAAAAAAAAAAAACACCTGAACTGACTGTTCAGGTCCTCCCCATTAATAGTCACAGGGCACAAAAAACTAATCAGAAAAAAACAAAAGTACACTCGACAAGAGAAAGGAGTTGAAGGAGGCGCAAAGGGGGTTGAGCTCCCAGATCTGAGAAGAACCTGGGTGGGAAGCACAGTGCCCCAAGACATTCACTGGAGAGCCCCACGCCGCGCGTGTGTGTGCGTGGCCTGGACCTTGGCCACTGCAGAGAGCTTCCCCCCCATGTCACAGCAGGAAACACCAGTCTACACTGTGAATCTGAGAAAAATGGCAGGTGGACACACTGTCAGTGAAAAACCAACAGCATGAAAACTGTAATATGTGTGAGTTCTATGGGAATGAGGAGGTACAATGTTGAAGTGTCAGATGCAAGAACTGTAAAGTTAATCCTCATGGGATTATAAAAGAGGAGATAAGACCTTCACCAGGAATACCCCCCAAAATCTGAGAACTTGCAGGACAGATCATTAGAAATACGGTCAGAAAGGTAAATTCGCTGGCAAAGAGGGAGTAGGTCATCAGGGCTCTTCTGTGACTAACACTGGTCTCGAGATGTATTTTCTGTGTGTGTTCTGAATACATGTTTATCAAGCCTCTCAGGGCAGCTTTAGTTTGGCGAGTATTCTGACATCCTGATGCCAAGAGGGCAAAACTAACATTCCAGGCAATGGGAAGTAGATTCCTGGTTATAAATAAAATGACATGAGATTTAAAAACTGTCCGTTGCATATCTGGCTAGCAGAAATTATCTCAGCAAATGGATTTTTAAAAATAAATAAAACAATCAATAAACCCACAGAGAGTGTGTAGGTTCTGGAAGTTGCTAATCTTACCTTAAAAAGTCTGCCTGCTTACTCCACAAAAATCCCATTAAGGTCACCTACTGTATGCCCTTTCTGACCTAGTTACTCGCGCATTTTCCTGATTACTGTCCCTCTTTTCTCTGCTATAAAGTAAATGCCAACATCTCTTTTTTTATTGAAGCATAATTGACATAAAACCTGTGTTAGTTCTGATTAACATAATAGCAATTAGTGTTGGTCACCACACACAGTCTCAAAAGTACCTTTTTTCTTTGATGAAAATTTTTACGTCAAGTTCCCTACTCTTGCCGCATTATTCTCCATTGGTCTCTCTAGGTCGGTGAATGTTTTATCCATTTAAGTACTCCTATGCTGGGTGTACAAATATTTATCCTCTTGTTAGCTCGAGCTTTTTATAATTATATAAATGCCCTTCTTTTTGTTTACTGCCATCTTTGCTTTAAACTCTGTTTTGTCTGATACAAGTACAGCCAAGCTGGCTTTCTGTTATTTCTCACTTGCAGTGAATATCTTGTTCTGTCCCTTCACTTTCTTTTTTTTTTTTTTTTTTTTTTTAAAGAGGCATGTTTATTTATTTATTTATTTGTTTGTTTGTTTTTATACATGCACTGAGTACAGTCAGAAGCGCGGGAGGGTGAGAGAATTCACCAGAGCCAGAGCGGGGAGCAGAGCAGGCAGAAGGACTGAAGTACACTGCTGAGGGGAGCAGAGGGCGGCAGGAGAGGTTTGCGCGCCATGTGGGACCCTCCTCTGGTGGCCGGGGAGCAGCCGGGGATCGAACCGGCGTCGCAGAGGCCGCGGGCAGCTTCGCAACCCAGCGCTCAACCTCTGCGCCACCAGGGAGGCCCTGTCCCTTCACTTTCAATCTGTGTGTCTTCACATATAATGTGAGTTTCTGACAGACAACACATCAGTGGATCTCTTTGTATATAAAAGTGGCCGCTCTGTCTTTTGATTGCAGAACTTATTAGTCCATTACATTTAAAGCAATTATTGATAGGTATGTACTTATTGCTGTTTTGTTAACTATTTTCTGGCTTTTTGAGGATTCCTCTCCATTCCTTTCATCAAAGACTTTGAACCTGTTTTTACAGAAACAGAGTTTCAGTAGAATTGCGTCTTTTATAGTATTCAAATTGGTTAATTTACATTTCAGGAGCTGTCCAAGTATTCGTTTGCTCATTTGTCAAAACAGAGAAAGACCTCACAGCAGACAGGTGTATAAAGAACCAAGACAGAAACTATTTGAAAAAATGACCAGCTGTGAAAACAGTAGCTGATATGTGGGTGTCAGCATGGGAGACAGGGATGCAAGAGTGGGCGAGAGCAAGGCAGCAGGAAAAGCAACTTAATCTCCCACTTTGGGGAGAGGATGATACTACATACTTGGTATTTATTTTACTGGTATAGTCAACATGGGAGCTTTGCTTTAGAGGCAAAAGTAACTAATTTCACAGGTAATTGCACAGACTGTCCCAGGACAGTCACGTCTCCCACCGTGCTTCCTGCACTGCTGACCAGCCACTCAGGGCTTTTCAGTTCTTTAGACCCGCCAGGCTCCCTCCTGTCAGAGCCTCTGCATACCTCTTCATGCCTTTGCTGAGTCTGCCCGTCCTTATCCTACAGACCTCAGTTTAAGCATCATTTCCTCTGAGAAGACTTCTCTCTGATCCTACTATAAATCAAGTTTCTTTGTTATATGTTCATTCAAAACTGGGTTCCCTCCTTCAGAGCAAGGGCTTCACTCTGTCATGGTGCTTTGGTGGGGAGTCAGTTGTGAGGAGAGTGGACTGCCCTTCTCCTCTACTGGACTGGAAGCTCCATGAGGCGAGGGCTGGGCCTGGTTTCGCTCATCACACTATTCTTAGCACCTGACACAGCACCCACAGCTATGCAAACATTCACTCAACAAATAAATGGAAAGTGCCAAACTCAGAAATGGCTTGGAAAGAACTCTGTGAATCACTGCTATTCAGCAGATACTTTTGGGGGTGGGAGAGGTGATGCATTTCTTGCTTTCTGTCTAGCGTCTGCATTTACCTGGGCCTTCCGCATGGCTTGTGGCTCAATCATGATATTGACAAGAGAGGGTTTGGTTCTGTCTGCCAGGCTCTGCTGCAGGGATTTTTGAAGTTCTTCTGGTGTCTGTACAAAATATCCTTTGCCTCCAAATGCAGTCATGACCTGTTCATAATGTGAGTTTGGCAGGAGGCAGACTGGAGGGGCCCTGGAAGAGAAGGTCACAGGTTGAGAGAAAGAAAGTCATTCTCTGAGATAATCTGTGGGGCATTTAGAGGTGAGCTGAAAGGCATTATGTTATGACCAACACTTAAAACTCAGAGGCTAGTACACTAAACTATCTATTGTTAATGTTGTGTATAGCCATGGGCAATAGGACTCTTTGTGATGATGGAAATGTTTCTATCTGTGCTGGTCAACATAGGAATGGTTACCATGAGAACTTGACATAAAATGTGACTAGTTAAAATGAGGAATTCAATTTTTGATTTTATTTCCTTTAAATAGCGACACTTGGCCAGTAGCTACGGTGCAGGATCACACAAGTGACAGCATCATCTTATTGTGAATCCAAAAGAAAAAGGAAAAAGAGAAATGGTTACTGCAAAACAGAAAATAACAACTAAGCAACATATGAGGTCAGTGAGACATAAGCAAACGTCCCCATACCCTGCTCCAAGCAGGCTAACTCACAAATTCATGCCTCTCACGCCCCAGAGCCAGCTACAATACTGTCTCAGTTTGGCTCTGCCATCAGATGGTCAAGGGCCAGCTAAGTGGTAAGAGGAAGGAGGACCTCTGGCTCACAAATGCATGTAAACACCCATATTCTTGCATGGTATAGGAGGTATGTAGGACTGGGAGCACTTAGCACTAAGCTCAGAGCAAGGCTGAGACATCAAACTCATCTGTCCGTCTTAGAAGCTTCCTGATGATAGAGTATTCATTGAAGCATCCAATCATGGGTGTTTGTGCAGAGAGGAAGCAGGCAGGTGGGGTTCCTGCCCTTTACAACAGGCAATGATACACATAAGTGACACTCTTCCTGCAGGAGCACAATCCTATACAGACTTTTGAAAGACAGATTAAAACAGAAGAGAGAAAGTAAATGCACCTTATTCCAGATTACTTACACTGCAGCAGCATCTCCAGTTTTCAACATTTCCTTCCAAGAATCTGTATCAAAGCCTTGGTAAATTCCGTTATTATTTACCACCAAAATTATGATTGGTAAGTTGTACCTAAAATTGAGAGGAAATCATTATTCTAAATCAGTTTCTTTGCTTTGGACTGAGATTTTAACATAAAACTGGACAGTTGTCCAAATGCTTTTTTTTTTTTTTAATTAGGGTAAAACTGAAAATTAAGCATTGTTCATTGTTCTCCTAAGGAAAAATATCAAAATCTTTAACAGAAACATCATGGAATGGTATCTGGAATACAAGATTAGGGACTAGCAGAGTTGCTCTACCACTATGTAACTATGGACTTTGGGCAAATCCTGAGCTTTCTGAACCCTGGTCTTTATAGATCCAGGTGGTATTAAGTTACTACTCTCTGAAGCACCAGCTCCAGGCAGTACCTAGGAGCATGGTTTGAAAGCACCTTTCTTTTTTTAATGAACTCCTCCTAGACAACCAGGACTTGCTAGATGCTGTGGGAGATATGCCAGTGATTAGTATTTCACTCTCAAACCATGTCACCCAAAACTAGGAAAACATTACATGGTGTAATAATTAGAGAAGAGAGTATTTAACAATCTACACTGTGAAATAATAAGGTAAAGACTGAAAAAGCTGAATAAATTTTACGAATAATAGACAAAGGAGATGGGTTTTTGTTTCTGAGATAAGATGGAAGACCAAAACTAAACTGCACACTGTTAAGTAACAGGGCTGTGGGAACTGCTTGCTCTCTCTGCTCAATGGGAGTCAGCTTTCCCCAAAATCACCTTCTGGGTGAGTATTACTTGGTTGTCAACACAGACACTCTGACAGCTACACACTACCCTCTCATCTTGAAAGTTGATATACCAAAGTTTTGACAGTGCCAAACAAGATTTATTTACAAAAGCACTAATAAGATCCCTGGCTAAGACAAGAATGGTTTACTATAGCTTAAATAATTGGGGAAAGAAAACGTCCCATATGTCCAGAGGGGTGCAATGCATGAGCTTCTGCGTGAATCCTCACCACTTCATCCTTAGTCTGAAGAGCTCACCTTCACTGAGCTGTCACCTCAAGTATCACTCAGATGTTCTCATTTCCTCATAACCATCCTCTCAGGTAGTAACTACTACTGTTCCTGTCCCTGTTTTAGTGGAGACTGAGGCGCCATGAAGTGACTGAGCCTATCACTTGGCTCTGCTGTCGTTGAGCCAGGCCAACCTCTTAACCACCTGGTTCTCTGTCGCCCTGCAGAAGACAAAGCTTTTACCGGTGACCTCAAAGCCACTCCTTCCAGTTCGGCAGGTTCAGGGCCTGCAAGACAGAGGTCAGGAATGTGCTATTCTTGGTGAGGAAGACCCTGGGTCTCAGGACATGGCACAGTGAGGTGCGCAGGGCACTGGCAGAGGTGAACACTTGCTAGGGATGTGTTAGGTGAGTGGGTGTTGGATCTAACTTTTAATATTTTGAAGAAAGAAATGCCGTGATGCAGGATGCTGTCTTACCTGCAGATGGTTTCCACTTCCATGCCAGAAAACCCAAAAGCACTGTCTCCTTCCACACAGATGACCCGCTGCCCTGGGTTTCTATCTTTAGCTACCAAAGCAGCTGCAATGGCAAAACCCAAACCGACTCCCATCGTTCCAAAAGTGCCAGCATCCAGCCTGTTGGGGAGTGGAGTTAAAATGAAACCCCCTGTGGGTGGTGATCGTGGTGGTGGGTCAAGCTAGCCATCTTCACCGGCCTCATCGAAAAATAAAGAACAATAAAGCCATTCTCTTCAGTATAACATTTTTAGGCTGCGAGGAACTAATTCCTCAAGACAGAGAGGAACAAAATGAAAAAGTCACTCGTGATTATTTGGAAGATTATGAATATGTCCTTAGGACGGATCACATGAGCTCAAGGACACCTCAATTGTAAAAAATCTACAAGGCCTTGCCTCAGAGTACATTTATGAGGTAAGTCCTTATCCGCTGCACTTGTATACTTCTCAAATGTTTTATTAAGCTGCATCATTGTATTCTCAAACTTAACTCATTATAATTTCTTTTTTTTTAAGAAGCCTTACCTGTGACGAGGAAGGTAATTTTGAAGCACAGTGCGTCCAATATCCATCGTATTTGCTCCTTCGCTTACCACAAAACAGTCTCTGGGCAGTTGTTCTTGAACATGGAAGAATACTGTGTAATAATTCATAGGCAAGGATTTTTTGGAAGCTAATTCCTAAAATTAACAGGGAAATATAACCCAATTAGGTTGAAAATAAATGTGAAAATAAATGGTGAAAATAAATAATGGCAATAAGCTACTATCAAATCTATTTGGAAGTAGGCAACAGCTTCAAGTGACAAGGTCCTCAAATGGCCACTCTAAAAAAGTGGCCATTTGTGAACAGTCTTGGGGGATGTACTAAGAAAATTGATCCCAGTGTCCCACCTTGGGACACAATCAAATATTGTGTTGTCGGAAAAGTCATAACATATTTTTTCTATGTTTTTCAAGCAAAAACGCATCATGACTTTTCCAAAAACCCAATAAGTCATTATTCTTTTTTTCTGATGCTCCATAATGCACATTAGCATCTTAAAGACTAAGAAGAAGCCCTGTAGTAACAATAACTGGAAACAAAGAGCTTAAACAAAACTAGTCTTATTTGAGCACATTTAGGAAAAAATACTGCCTTAGAAAAAGTGAAATTTTTATTCTAGAATATTTTCTTCTGAAATATGGTCCTATGCCTAAAATAAAAGTGAACTCGGGATTTTAGAAAGTCTGAAAATCTGATTCTTCCCGACAGGTACTGAAGGGTAAGTGGGATATGTTCTCTCCACTATTCTAAAATGTCTCTGGAAGGAGGAAAAACAGCAAGATCAATGCATTTGTCTAGCCATGTGCATTTTAGAGCTGAGAACAAGTCCCTGGGCTTTAGTAACAAGTCCTGTGTGTTCCCAGCACAGCCTCTGTCTCCTGTGTTTCCTTGATCTGCTGGAGAATATACCCAAGATGGATGAGGGACCCTCCTGTCCTCTTGAAGCAAGTTCCTTCCATCTTAATCTAAGGCAATTCCTAGAGATAAGAAGGGATGACTCATGATACCAAGCAGGAAAAAGAACCGAGATTAGTTCTTGATAGGAGAAAGTCACTGATTTAAGTTCCAATATAAGAGCCTAGCTTAGCACTCAGCAGGGCAAGAGATGGTTACATTCCTATGTAAGATAGAATCACATATGATCAATTATGCTTGTTTTGAAAATGCAAATTTATTCTAAGATGATGGATATTTTAGGAAACAAGATAGCATCACTTGAATTTTGTATTTGCTTATGCAAAATTCTGTCAGTGAGAAGCACTAGCGAACACTGAAAACAGCACCCAATTGAACTCTGGTGCATAAAAATACACAAAACAGTGAAAAAACTCAGAATCAACTTTTCTGGCAATCAAAGAGAAAGCACTATCTAAATACAAAGACTATAAACTAAAATCAGCAAACCCTCCAGAAGTGGCTCATTTTAGTGCTGGTAATGCATGGTTTAGTGGTTCAAGAATAACTACAGGTTCCGAAGTCTTCAGCTATCAGACAAAGCCACAGGTGCAGATGAGAAAGTCACAAAATAATTTCCAATTATTTGAAAAATATTATGGATATCTCACCCAAAAGATAAGAAAAAAAGAAAAATATGTGAGGTGATGGCTCTGTTTCTTAGCTTGATGGGCGGAACCCTTACACAGCAGCAACATAAATGACCATTGTACATTTTAAGTATCTTACAATTTTACATGTCAGCTGTACCTGATTAATCTGAAGTTTTTAAAAAAAGGTTATACCGTGGGTCAAAATTTGATGATAAAGCTATGTATGACAAATGCTTGCCTTGAAGGTTCTACATCTTAAAGGTAGGAAAACATCCACCAGGATTTAAGGTTTCTTAACACCTCCTAATTGTGATCCCAGGTCAATGAGCCACATCCCCCATGCTGGCTCCCAGGGCTTCCTGTCCAGTGTCACCACCTGCTTCCCCTCAACACACAACTCAACGGCTGCAGCCCTCCTGACACCCACTTCCACAAGAAACTGCAGGTCTTTTTCAAGGTAAAGTGTCATATTTACTATAGTGTGTGTATTTCTTAACCATTTAACAGGCATAAAACTTTGCTACCATTTTTATTAGATTCCTATCTTAATTTTTCTTTTTTTAAAAAGATATTTATTTATTTATTTATACAAGCACTGGGTACAGTCAGAAGCGCGGGTGGGTGAGAGAATTCACCAGAGCGAGCGGGGAACAGAACAGGCAAACTGACGAAATCACTGCTGAGGGGAGCAGTGGGCGCGGCAGGAGAGGTCTGCGCGCCACGTGGGACTCTCGCAGGTGGCTAGGGATCGAACCCGCACTGCAGAGGCTGTGGGCAGCTTCGCAGCCTGGCGCTCAACCACTGTGCCACCAGGGGAGGCCCCCATTCTTAATTTTTCACAAAGTTTTTGAGAGTTGCACCCCTAAGTCCTTTTTCCCACGAGTCCTATGGCGTTTTTTGCATGGCTTTGCATAGCGTGGTGATTTTTAGGAACAAGCATGTTACATCCTGACAGCTAATTGAACCCGAAGCATTTCTGAGTGTCAGTGGGTCCTGCATTACCTTGGATGCCGCTGCATTACTCTTCATTTTTTCTCTCAGAGTTCCCCACCACTTGCTCTCTGGAGGATACTGCCATGGCGTTTTATCAAATTGTCCCAAAAGCTGAAAAATCACAAACTTTTTCTTTTCTTTTTGAAAATAAACTTAAATCTTAATAACACCAAAATCTATTCTTAAAGAAGACAATACTGCTTCACTACCCAGCCTTCACTCATATTCTTTTTTTTTTTTTTAACCTCTTGATAGCAAACAACTACAGAAGATAAAATTGGAAACATGGACGTTTGTTTGGGTCAGTGTGGACTTCCACCAGATGCCAGGGTTGGGATCCCCATAGGCAGAGTGAAGTACTATCTCCCCACCTCTCACAGGCAGAGGCTCTTCAGTCCTCCTTAGTCTCTGATACTAGAAAGAAATCATCCCTTAAATAGATCCCTTACAGGAAAGCTGGTAGCCCCAAATAATAAGGATTCCCAGGATACCAACAAATGCTCCAGGGTTCTAATAATATGATCAGTGATTGCATCCAAATATTATATAATCATAGTAACAAGAACAACATGTTCCCACAATCAAATGAGAAAGGTGACTATATTTTCTCAGCTGTCACAATGAAATCTACAAATTATGTATAAATAATAAAAATCTGGACAAGCCATAGACAACAGCCTAAAGAATGAATATCTCTTTATGTTTTTTAGAAATACTAAATACTAAAGAAATACTAAAGAATACTTAAATTTTTTTCATGTATGTAAAGCCATTTCTCAGCTGTAAGTTCAGTTTCTCTGGAAACTTGATTATAATTTTGTCGGATAGCTGAATCCCACTTAGTATATCACTGTTTTGCTTACCTTAAATTTTCAATCACCCTCCAAAAAAATGCTTAACTTCTGTGTATAAAAATGTTCTATATACAAGGAATTGGATTTACTGAGCTCCAAAGCTATAATTAAGAATATCTTCCCATTGCAAATTTTGTTTAAAACAGATATACAACCAAGTGAACCAAGATGAAAACATTTTCATGAAATGACTATCCCTTAAAGAGCAAGCCACATAAACTAAAACAGGCAAAAGCTCTTACCTGCTTAGTGACAGCATTTATGTCTCCCAGTAAAGTCACAGCAGGCTTCACGTTGTTCCCCAGTTCTTCTGCACAGATGTCAATCTAAGAAAGAGACAAGCCTGAACAACAAACCATGTTTACTCTTAAAAATCTTTGATTTAGGGGCTTCCCCTGGTGGCACAGCGGTTGAGTGCTGGGCTGCGAGGCTGCCCACAGTCTCTGCAGTGCCAGTTTGTTCCCCAGCCAGTGGCAAGGGTCCCACAAAAAAAACAAACAAACAAACTTTGATTTAAGGCAATTAAGGCTGAATAAATGAACCATGTGTACATAACACACAATAAAGAAAAATTTGATATTTAAGAAGTTCGTAATAAAAGTAAAAATCCGTACAACTATGAGGATCATAGCTAATACGGAAAGCTCATCATCATCCCTCATTTTAAAATTTACTCTGCAGAATTGTGGTATTGTTCCATTATACACAGCATTTGACATGATCAATTATAGTTTTGGATCTAATCACTAACAAGGTTCTACTTAGTTACACTGGAATTCCTATTTAGAGCAAAAATTCTCAAATTTGAGCATTTATCAAAATCTCCTAGGAGGATAGTTAAATTGCAGATTTCAAGAGTCCACCTCAAAATTTCTGATCTCAACAGGTCTGGGATAAGGTCTGAAAATGTGTGTTTCTAACAGTACCCGGGTGGTACTGATGCTGCTCAAGTTTTGCGAACCACTCCAAGGTATGGCATAACTGCCTGTTTACCTAGAAGTTTCATTTCTGGATGGCCATGAGCAAGTGAAAATAGTTTCTATGAGGGGTATTTAGCAACCTCAGAGGGGACGCACTTTATTCTGTCAACAAGAGGGGAACCTGCCAGGTACAACCTGGACATTGCTTGTTTGTAGTTTTAGTTTTCAGTGGCCCAGGAGGAGAGGGACTAGTAGAAGTGAAAAGTAAATAGAGAGAAGATAGCCATTATAGCGGGTCCTCAAATACGACATACAATCTGTGCAGGGTGAGCAGGTTTGGATGCTGCTGTGTAGGAGTACGGGCTTATAAAGAGGGCTGTGATGACACAAGAGCCTTCAAAGGGAGGTTATTCCACACTCTGTTTAATGACATAGGTAAAAGTAACATTGCTTAGGGATTTCCAATCAGAGGGAGTTCTAAAGTTTTAGCATTTAAAAGAACAGCTCAGTTCCTAGTGATGCTGAATGTTTTGTTCTTTTTTTTTTTTTTTAATTTTTTTTTTTTAATGAATGTTTTGTTCTAATCTATTATCCCACTTAAATCTCTTGTTTATATTTAAATACACTTGAACTGTAAAGAAGGGGCAAATATTCTCTTCAAACTATTTAAAACTTGATTCTGAAAGGTCTTCTAGTTAGAAGTAAAGTAACTCGTTATGTTTCATAAGCCTGAAAAGGCAGGCTGCCTTGGTACCTATACTTAAAATTTATACAATTCTACTTTTGTAGGAGGAGAGAAATGGTTCTTTACAGAAACCAATAAGACAGCAAAGCTGATAATGGCTGGGAGGGAGAACAGTAAACCACAGATAGCTCTAATCTTAAATCTCTGCTCTCTGGGTACCTGGATAAACTTCACATCTGGCTGATATCTTGGAGGCAGTCCAAAATGTAAAATCCAGTTTAATCGGGCACCAAATAACACAATTACATCAGCAAATTGCAAAGCCCTATCAAAAAGAAAAGTATTATATAACACAAAAAGTCTATATTTCTATTTGAATTACTCTAAAATTAATTTCTAAAGTATTTGGGAAAGTTTAAATAATTTGGAGCTTACATCAGTGTTCAGAATCACCTATGTGAATTTTCAAACTAAAATAATTTATGAAGCTATTCTATTTAAATAGTAATCTAAGGGGCCTCCCCGGTGGCGCAGTGGTTGAGCGCTGGGTTGCGAAGCTGCCCGCAGCCTCTGCAGCGCCGGTTCGATCCCCAGCTGCTCCCCGGCCACTGGAGGAGGATCCCACATGGCGCGCAGACCTCTCCTGCCGCCCGCTGCTCCCCTCAGCAGTGTCCTTCGGTCCTTCTGCCTGCTCTGCTCCCCACTCTGGCTCTGGTGAATTCTCTCACCCTCCCGCGCTTCTGACTGTACCCAGTGCTTGTATAAATAAATAAATAAATCTTAAAAAAAAAAAAATAAAAAAAATAAATAAATAAATAGTAATCTAAAAGATGAAATATAAAAATACTACCATATGACTATCTATGCTCTATTTCATTGATGAGGTAAAGTAATCATTAGAAAATTAATATAAGTTCACTCTAGATGATCTGGAAAAGCATAAAGAAAAAACCAAAATCACCCAATACGTACTATCAACTTATAAAACTAATGTAAAAATCCTGATTTTTAATTTTTAAAATCCTGACATTTTCAATTTTCCTTTTTTCCTATCTGAGTATATTTTTACATAGTTGAGTTTATTTACTATAACATTGTCTTGAGCACTTACATTTACCATAGATGTTTTATTGTTAAGTTCTTAAACATCCAATTTTTAAAGGCAACATTTTCCTGAATACACCAATTTAATCTTTTCTCAATTATTGGACATTTTCTTTGTTATTAATAGTATTGGATTGCACACCTTTATGCTTATGCTTGAATCTTAAAACAGTCTTTGTATTGATTCCAAAAGAGCAGATATTTTTAAGACAGTTGATTCATATTCTTGAATTGCTTTCAAAAAATGATAATTAAGCATATTTCTAATAGCTTGATTTTACATATTTTAACATTTCTGTCAAATTTCTAATTTTCTGTTTGCAAAGATGAGTGAGGTAAATGAAAAGACAGCAAGGCTGGCTGTATTATTATCAGTGTGGCAGTCAAAGTAATATCTACCTTAAGACCATCTTGATTCAAATGACTGTGGACAAAAAATTTAAAGTCTAAAAAGAAACAGTTGTGCTTAAAATTACATGATTCTTTCAGAACATCTAGACTCATTAAAGTCACAAAATAATTTAAATTAGCCTATATTCTGCCAAGCTGTCGTATTTAAAATCTGGAGTGGCACGCACCTGGATCTGGCAGCACCCACGCAGTTTGGATGGTTGTCAGGGACAACACCCTTTCCCATGGGGGTGGGCAAAAACGGCAACTTACATTGCTCCACCAATTTCCTGATACTCTCCTCTGCATGGGCATAGGCAGCACCTGCAAGAGATGCAAATGTATTGGGCGTGTCAGTTAAGCTCCAGGCATTGTGACCCTTAAAATAATTCACATGGAATTGCTTTTAGAATTTCTCAAATAATCTCCTGCTTATATAGACCTTAAACTCAAGACAAATGTGACTATACTTTGTCCCTTAGGTATTTTAAAATGTTTAAGAAAGCAATAGCTCTGATTCCCCCTGGTAATATTCTCAAGTGTTCTGAAGGATGTCTACTCCAAAACAAAAGCTACTCACCTGCCATTCTGTGCCATGGCCCTACTGTAGTACTATTCCCAAGTCCCTAAACATAGCGCAAGCTTTACTGGGAGGCCCAGGTGGGCAGGAAAGGACTCTGACTCAATAGGGAAGTCTCCTGACTTCACACACTGCTCCTCACCACCAGCGGACCTGGACTGCACAGTCTCCTAGTGTAGATGTGGAAATCTGAACAAGGGGCAGCAGTGTTTAAAGCTCCAAAGCTCTCTTCAGAGGCTCTACAATTCTGTGATTACAATAGGGTTGACTCAAATGAGTCACAAATCATTTGTTCATACAGTTGTGGAAGAGGCACAGAATAACCAGATGCCCTGGGGATACTGAAATTAACCCAGAAGGGATGAATTAACTTCTAATGTCATTAGGCCACAATTTATATCTTTCAGCTATTTCATTTTATACCTTTTTCAGGACTAGAAAGATATGACTCCATATTCAGAACTTAATATTCTCTACTGAATCCCGGTAATTGTATAAGTGTATATGCAGATTCAACATAATGCTCCCCTCTATCAAATTACCTTGGAACCCAAAATTTAAAAAAAAATCATGTATAATTTTTATAATAGAAAATATCACATTTTTCTCCTAAGTTCATGAAATGTGTCATAGGTGATACTCCCTTAAAAGGACAAACTCTCAAGGCATCTTCAAAGAAATAAATAATGCTGAATGGAGGAAGAGAACTCATTCCAATTTCAAACACTAGAGCACATGTTAATAATGTAGACAATTTCTAGAATCAGCATTCTTTTCACAAAAGCCCAGAAAAATTTAGAGTTCCAGTCAATGTTACCTTTCCCGATGATAAGAAGAGGCCGCTTGGCATTCCTGATAACAGAAGCTGCCGTGTAGACAGCAGAGGTATCTGCCATGCTAATGGGAGGCGGCATGCAACACTCCATGTACCTGGAAACAGAGAGTCTGTTGATTAAAGGAGGCCAATAAACCCTATGTACTCACCATGTGGATACAACAACTAATGTCATTTTTCCACATTTGTGTCTCACATATACACATAAACATGCATTTATAGGGCCTCCCTGGTGGCGCAGTGGTTGAGCGCTGGGTTGCGAAGCTGCCTGAAGCCTCTGCAGCGCCAGTTCGATCCCCGGCTGATCCCTGGCCACTGGAGGAGGGTCCCACATGGCGCGCAGACCTCTCCTGCCGCCCGCTGCTCCCCTCAGCAGTGTGCTTCGGTCCTTCTGCCTGCTCTGCTCCCCGCTCTGGCTCTGATGAATTCTCTCACCCTCCCGCACTACTGACTGCACCCAGTGCTTGTATAAATAAATAAATGAATGAATAAATGAATGAATAAATAAAAAAAAAGAACTACTCTCTTGAAAAAAAAAAAAACCATGCATTTATAGTCTTTCCTGAGCCATTTAAAAGTAAATTATAGGTATCAAGACTTACTGGCATGCCCTGCAGCCCTAAAAGATAGACTTTCTCCTGTATAACAATATCTTTATTACATCTAGTAAATTTGTAATTATTTCTGAGTAGCATCTAATAGTTAAATAAGTAATTCACTGACAGGAAATTTGAAATAATGGCTTTGCACAATAGTAGTAGTAATGGGCAATAATTAAAAACATACTAAAAGTTAATATTTAATATATTTATTATGTGCCATTTATTCTCATTTAATTTTCTAAACAATGAGCTTAGGTATTACCATTACCTCCATTTTACCATTGGAGAAGGAAAAACTCAGAAAGTATCTTATCTAGAGTTCCCAGATGGTCCAAGTCAGAAATGGGCTGAACTAGGTCATTCTGTCTCCAAAGTCCATGTTTTTATCTATGTCACTCTATTACTACTCACTGGGTAAAACAACATTTTAGTATCATGATATAAAATAAATATAAAATTGCCATAGTTATTTCTGTATATCAAGTCCTGAGTGCTTTATTTCATTTAATTTATAAGCATTGCATTGTACAAAACTGAGACATATAATACAAAAAAGGGACAGGTAAATAAGATTTACAAAAAATTTTAAAAAGGTTTACAGTGTTATTATACCTGTTGCTCCTCAATAATATGATTTTGATTAACACGTTCAAGTATCATGCAGGATAGGCATTCATTTTATCTGATTTTCCCAAGTAGAAACCACTCCATGGTATACCAAGTATATAAAAATATCCACTATCTCTCTGCAGTTACCAGAGGCCCACTTGGTCCACAACTGCAGGAATGTTCAAAGCAGCCCCAAAAGTAACATATTAACCCAAGTACCTTTCCATACCAAGGGTGCCTTAGATACAGGTGAAAATTTCCTGTACTTGTTCACTCAGTGCTTATTTAAGCAGTAACAGAAGTTGGCAAATAAGTAACATTTGTGTTGAATATTTTTAAATCAGAGAGCAATTAAAATCTCTTATGCTGAGTCCTAATAATTATTCATCAGTCACCTCATCTCTTGGTATATACTCTGGGGACTCTAAATAACCCACCCAAACATTAATGGGGATATATTATTATGGTGACTAGAAGAATAATTTCAAATAAGGTATTCAGGAAGCTCCAAGTATCTGACTTAGTAATGAAACCAAAATAATTACTAAATAGTACCATTTTAATTAAGAGAATGAGCCCTTTGACTGGGATTCAGCTTAAAGACTGAATCATGAAAGGTTAAGACAAATGAAGATTAACTTAGAAATAGCTGAACAAATTCTAAAACTTTTAAAAAGTTAAGCATTATGACAATACAATTAAGAAAGAACTCCAGTGTAACCATTACTCACTTGACAGAATTCACATTCACCTTGAGGTTCACAAAATCTGCAGGTATGTCAATATAGCAAGCACCTGGACGACCGTAAATACTGCTTCTCACTGCCTATGTTTACAACAAATAGGAAAAAATATTTTTTAAATTTTCAATCCTTAGTATATTATTTCACTCAAAGATAATTTAAAATTATGAAATGAATATTATTTTAATTTTTCTGGACATTCTTGGATGAAGAAATACTTTTATTAAAACCAAAATATCCTGTACTGATTCTAAATATTTTAGAAGATATTTTTGTTTAAAAGAGAAAAAAAAATTTAAGGCACTGAGGCCTTTAAAATTCATGTTCTATCAAGCTTCAGTATAGAAATTAGCTACTAGGTTCTGCCCGACTAGTATTTACTCTGTAATTTGTACTTTCACCTGCTTCCTAATCCTAATTTGGCAAAGTTTTCAGAAATAGTGATGTTGTAACACTTGTCAAATGTTTCTTTACAACTGGTTTTGAAACAGCTCAAATGTAGCTTCACATATAAATGTTGGTTAACTAAAACTAATTTATAAAATGCTGTTAAATCAATTAAGAGATGGTTTTATATGCATCGATATTTTCAGAAATTCAGGAATGATTTTTTGCAAAAACATAAACAAGATTTCATTAGTCTTACTTTCATGTAATTAAAAAATAATTTTAAAAACTAGAGGAGAAACTTTTTTCCAAAACTATTTTATCTTTCTATAATTAAATACAATGGCAGTGAACATGAAAATATAGTTCTTTGACAAACGATAACATTTTTAGTTACCTGGGTATATTACTAATTGCTGTTCATTCTATTGAGAATAAAAATAAAACAGCTGACTTGGAGGGCATATAATTAAATACTGTACCTTTTCAATAACAAAGGGAATAGCTTGTATACTGCTTGGCCGGGCAGAGAACTTGCTATATAATCTACAAGCTTCAACCTATATGCAAAAAGAAAATCACTTAAAATTCTGCTTACAGATCATATTATTCTTTTGAAGGAAAGTCATTTACTTTCTATTATGTTCAGAGGCAAGATGGAGAAAACACATTTCCTGAACTGTTTCTTAAAAGTCTAAGCAAAGTACAATCAAAACTATTTGCCTTAGTGAGATTCAGGAAGCAAATCAAAACAAGACATCATTTTCATTTCTCAGACTGGCAATAATGAACAAGTTTCATAATACCCAGAATCTATCACAGCACAGAAAAACAGGCCCTCTCATAAACTGCTGGTGAGAGCAGGGAAGCTGACAATATTCACTAAAAGTTAAAATTCTTCTAAGATAAAAACAAACTTGTCCAAAGTTTACTAATTGTCCCTTTTAAGTGGGACTTTTCCCTCTCAACTTTTCACTTCCCTGAAAGTCTGAGAGGCATAACCCCAAACTATTTTTACTTCTGCATCTTCTTCTCTTTGAAGAACTTACTTCCAGCCTGTCAAGAAGGTGTAATTTTGGACAACTGACTTTTCCTGAGCAGAACCTAAGCTTTCTTACCGTGCACATGGAGACCATCTTGTAGTTAAGGAAAATTACCTTTAAATTACCTCAGGTATCTGTTTTATTTTAGTTGTTTATGTTGCAGACAGGAGTTTTTATTTCTTTGCCACAAACCGTAATGGCATATATGCGATTATGCTACCAAACTCTAGAGGAGAAATCTTAGCGTTGGCACCTGAGGAAACTCCTGGAAGGCTCCCATGGTCTCCTGACTTCTTTCAGAGGAACCGCCGATCACTATCAAGGGCCTGCAGTATTTTCAGTTTTTCAAAAGAAAATTGCACATGAGATCAGAATGCACTCAACAAAATGTCTGTTGAATAATAAATATTCAATGAAAGTTGAGAGAATATTGCATTTTCTTTTAAAAACTATCAATAAGGAAAAGATGTAGGAAACAACCTCATATGGGAAAATCCTTCCTCAGTTTCAGAAAAATCTGAAATTTATAGTAAACATTTTTCTTTCATGTCCCCTCTCCCCCACTCCTTTTGGAAGCTGACCTAAACCTCTAGATGTGGTGATGCAACTGAATTTTTATGTCCTTTCTATTCTTGGGATTGAGAAGAATTTTTTCATATTTTCATAAGTGAGTCTGTTGGAAATGGCAGAATGAGAACAATTCCTTAGTAATTAAATTCTTATCCCTCAAGGAGAAGAAAAAAGATACAAATAAATCTAAAGTCACTTCAAAAAAATTAGACTCTAGGGCCTCCCCGGTGGCGCACTGGTTGAGGCTGGGTTGCGAAGTTGCCCGCAGCCTCTGCAGTGCCTGTTCGATCCCCAGCTGCGGGGCAAGGGTCCCACATGGCGCGCAGACCTCTCCTGCCGCCCGCTGCTCCCCTCAGCAGTGTACTTCATCTGTCTGCCTGTTCTGCTCCCTGCTCTGGCCCTGCTCTCACCCTCCCACGCTTCTGACTGTACCCAGTGCTTGTATAAATAAATAAATTTAAAAAAAAATTAGACTCTAAAGTAAGGTAAAAAAAGAGAAAGACTAGGAAGGAAGAAAGGATAGGAGGAACTGTAACACATACCTAGAGAGAAAGAAAACCATGTTCTTCCCGTTAGGAAGACTAAATCTTTTATGAATTGATTATAACATAATCCCCTCAAACATGATATTACAGGTAAGTACTAGAAATAGGGCTAAGGGCAAGGCCAAAGAGTTAAGTACTAAACAGCATATAAAGAAAACTCAATAAATGTGAGAATTTCAATCATCTTGTTAATTAGGTAATACATAGTGAAGAATTAGCTATAGTCTAATATACTGAACTGGGATCTTTAGAAAAGAAGTTTTCACTAAAAGTGTAGAAAGACAAATATATATATGTGTGTGTGTATGTATAGATATGTGTGTATGTATATATATACACACCAAATGTTAATAGTATTTATCTCTAAGGAGTTATTGATGTTTCTTATTTTCTTCCTAATACTCTTTTCAGTTGAATTTTTTACCAAGCCATTCTCTTAAGCACTTGGTTCTACATCTTGCCATCCCAGATGAGTATTTGCTCCACTAGGTAAAGTCATGCACTGAAAGTTTTAGGAAAATGTTTTCAATAACAACAAAGCAATTACCAACAGTTCATGTTTGCATTTGCCATACCACCCAAGGCATGAATGAGACCCGGGCCAGAAACAACAAGGCAAGCTCCCGGCCTAGAAGCAAACAGAATTTATTTTATTGAAAGCAAGTCAAATGCAATACCTTTTTGAACTTTAAAGGCAGGACATATATTGCTTTACCATTCTACACTTGGTAAAGCAATTATTACAATAGCTGTTGAATTTGGCGGGGAGGGGAAGAAAAAGATTGTACCAGTCTTCCTGCAAGAAACAAGGTGCCTATCATCTTCACACTGTATTCACTAACCTCTGCATAGTTTGAAGAGATTAAAGTTGGGCTAAATCAAATTAACTTTATACAGCAGCAAATTTTTGATGCTGAGTACATTTTTATGTGGGGGAAAAGTGTTACTTTTTTCTTAACAAATATGTCAACTGATCTTTGACAGAGAGTAATTCTGAAATGTAAAGCTCTGCCCCAAATTTTAAAAATCAAACTTGAATGTTTTACTCCAGATGTCACTTTCTAGGCCAAGCATTCAAAGCAAAGGTATCTCTGTGTAATTCAGTTTGTTGTTTGACATTTATAAAGTAATTTCTTAAGAGCCTGTGTTTAAGATAGTAAGATACATTGGAATAAAGCATAGACTTTCATTTACCTGCCTGTCAGATATCCAACTGCGGAGGCGGCATAACAAGCCTACAAAGGAAAAACACTGGAACTTAAGTATTCTGAGGTCCTTATATTAAGTACAATAATTCACAGTTAACTGAGAGATTAAAACTTAATAGTAGTGGAGGAATCAGAATGCTTCGCATTTTAACAAGTAATGCTCTACATGTAAATTTCAAATAATGGTTTAGCTAGCTAATCTAGTTTGTAGTTTTTCAATTACTTTGTCTACATCATCTGTTATTTATAACATCGTCTTACAACTGCTTAAATATATAGATCAATAGTAATGTCCTCTTTTTTTATTCCTAATATTAATAGTTTGTGTTTTTTCTCATCAGCAGTCTAGCTCAGGATTTATCAAATTAGTCTTTTCAAAGAACCTCTTTCTGGCTGTTCTCTATTTGTTTTCTATTTCACTGGTTTCTACTCATTATTTTACTCCTTTCATTTTGGTTAAATTTGGTTTAATTTTTCTAGCTTCTTAAAATGTAGGCTTATAGCAACGTTTTTTGTTATTTACTGATGGAATCACTTAAAAGCATTTCCCCTAAGAAGTACTTTAGCTCTGTCTCACGAATTTGACATCTCGTTATCATCTTTGACATCTCATTATCTCGTTATCATCCCATTCAAAATAATTTCGATTTTCCATTGTGATTTAATCTTCAACTCATAAAGTAATTAGGGTACATAGTAATATTCATTCTTGATATTGATAATTTGTATTTTCTCTTTTTTATTCTTGGTGAGTCTACCCTGAAGTTCATTGATTATTTTTTCCAAATATTTATAAAAAATTAAATTTATAGCTTAATTATCAAATATTTGCAGAGTTACATATAGTTCCCTTTCTGTTACTAAATCCTAGTTCATTTCCACATGTCTGTTACATACACTGTATGTCTTCATCCTTTGGAGATGTGATTTCTTTTATGGTCTACATATGATTAGTTTTTACTTTAATCTGCACATTAGCCCATAACAGGAAGAGAAGGAAGGTGCTAGATGAGATACAAGATACGCTGGGGAATGCTAACTGCCCTTGCGAATCCCTCTTAGTCTGGGACATAAATTTTTCCAGTATCATCTTCCTCATTTTTAGAAACAATAACAAATGGAGCATTTTGTAACTCCCATTCAATCTTATATGTGGTATAATGAACTTAAAACCACGTATAGGAGATAAGTATAAACAATTAAAAGTAAGTTTCTAGGAATCATAATTGGTAACACTTCCATATGCCCAACTAAGAGGCTGCACAAAGGCTCTGGACCGTTTCTGTGTTGTTATTCTCTACTGGCATTTATCTCTTTTCCCTTTTTCAAAATTCATATAGGGGGCCTCCCCAGTGGTGCAGCGGTTGAGCACTGGGCTGCGAAGCTGCCCTCAGCCTCTGCAGCGCCGGTTTGATCCCCTGCCGCAGGCGAGGGGTCCCACATGGCGTGCAGACCTCTCCTGCGCCGTCTGCCTGTCTGCTGCCCGCTCTGGCTCTGGTGAATTCTCTCACCCTCCCGCGCTTCTGACTGTACCCAGTGCTTGTATATAAAAAAAAAAAATTCATATAGGGCAATAATAAGACAACTCCTCAGAAATTTAAGTATCAAAATGAAGTATCTCCTGAAATAAGAATATTTCTTTGGACACTAAGGAGCACTTCTCGCTTATTAAGTCAGGGTAGAAATGCTGCTGCAAAAAGCAAGATAAAAAGTAGAATAAAAATGATATTCCTCTGGTAAAAGATGTTAAGAGGGAACTGGTTTTACAGTCATAAAACATCTATTTCTCAACCAAACTACCTCCACTTACAGGCAGAATAATGCACATAGTACTGGCTCTGGAACTGAATTGTTTTAATTCAAATCCCAGCTCCCCTACTTTCTACTGTGTCATTTTGGCAAGTTATTCTGAACCTTGGCTTCCTCAACAATAAAATCATCATAATTCTTAGTACTGCTGTGAGGACGAAATTGGTTAATACATGTCCAATATTGAGAAAGATGTGTGCAATCAGTAGGCTCTCAGTGGGAGTTAAATTCCTGACAGTCTGCCTACTTGCTGGCAAGGATCTGGCGAAAGACAAGCCACAACCAACTATACCTTTCTCTAGCATAAACATGCAGTCACTCTTCTGTGTCTTGAGTGGATACTGAACTTCCCTGTTGTCACATTCTCTCAGTTATCCTGTCGCTATCCTTAGGTCAGGTATTTGTTAAGTTTTCCTTTTTCCACCGTAGTCCTGTTGATTGAGGAATCTATGTACTGGGAATGTCTTCCAGGTACTTCAGGCTCTTTTTGTCAAAAATTGAACTCATTACCTTTTCCCTCCAAATTGATTCTGCCTCTGGATTCCCAACCTGGGTCAGTGGCACTAGAAGCTACCAAGCAAGTGAGGCAAGCCCAGACCTAGGGATCATTTCCTTCCTAACTAGCTAATCTCATACTCATCCTTCAAGGCAGTTCAGACATGGACTTCAGGGAACTTTGAAGTTTCAGGCTGAACTGGTTTCCACAGCACCCTGGATATATTTCTATCACATTGTTTATCTCTTCATAATAAAATTATTTGTTTTTGTTTGTTTCCACAGCAAGATTATAAGTCCCTCAAGGACAGGACCTGTATATCATTCATCTCCATATTCAGTGCCTAAGAAAGCACCTGGGACCTAAGGAGGCCCCTCAGACAAGCTTATGGAGACTGAAAATGCTAAGATGACCTGATGATTTATACTACCATGAAAATCATCCTTCTAAAGTACGAATCTCGGTATGTCTCCCACTCATAACCTTCCCTGTCCCACTCAGAGAACCAGTCACCCTTGGATATAATTTCCTTATATGCATATTTTTAGTGAGCTATTATATTCAATACTAAATAATTAATTTTTCTGTGTGTCCTGCTTCTGCCTTCCCAGGTTATGGTCAAGGTAAAGGTCAAGATTCATCCCCATTTCTTCTTTAGAGCCCTCTCTCTTGGCAGGTAAGTACTGTTACTGCAGAAGGAAAAGTCCTTTGGAGGTTATACAGCACAGTAGGCACCAAGGAGGCACTCAATTAATATTTGCTGTGTGAAGAAATAACCAGATACCACCTCTAGAAAAATAGTAAAATACAGGTCCCATGCTTAAGTGAGTGGAGTCTTCTCACACCGATGAAAGAACAGAATGTTATCCCAAGAATAGGAGAAGATCGAAGTAATATAAACTCAAGAGATGTTAGTTTTAAGACAAAAAAGGGACAACTTTCAAATCTTGTAGATAAGGAATGTCATTTAATTAACAGAAAAACTGTTATATGCATCTAGATCATGCAAAAGCCCTTCTCAAGCCAGACACTGTGGGATCAGGGTAACAGAGCAACCCCAATTCCTGCTCTCCAGCTCACATCTGAGGGCAGAAGGAGGGGGCCACAGAAGGTGAAGGCAACTGTCTGGGTCAGAGGTGGTAAGAGCCTGAATTAGAAGGCAACAGTGGGAGTGGAAAGCAGGGATAGTTAGTGTTGGATGAACTGGCGGGATGTGACATCTCAGAGGTGGAGTCTTGACCTTTCAAGTGATTGCTGAGAGAAGGGTGAGAGGCTGGTTGGACAAAATGCCCTTTTCCCCCTCATACTTTCAAATAATAAAACTGCAAGGAAAGCGGCAGCATGGTATGCTGGAGCAAGCCCTGGACTGGGATTTAGGACACCTGGATTCGATCATGCCTTTACCATCTGTGACATCCTCCACTTTGCAAGGTAACTACTGTAACAGGAGAACTTGGCCTTCCCCCTTCATCCCAAAGATACACCCTGAGCACCACCTGGGGAGGGAGGAGGAGGTGTACAGTGTGTCAAGAATAAATAACAACGCTGCCCTCTTGGAGCTCACAACCTAATAGGGAAGTTAGACCAGACAAATAATGCCGAGAAACAGACACGTAACAACAGGTGGCTCTAAGATGGGATACAGATGGGCTGTCCCTTCCAGTGCTGGCACGCCGGCCTTGGCAGCGCGCAATGCTGGAGCACGTTAAAGCACAGACTTCAGACCCAGAATTCCGAAGCTCCAATCTTGGCTCTGCCCCCACCAGCGGGCACCTCGGTTAAGTTCACCTCTCCGGGTCTCTTACCTGTCTATTAAAATTAGCAACTGTTCTTGCATCGCGGGATGGCTGAGATGGAGATGTGGAAAGTACTAGAACGGGGGCAGCAGCCGGGTGTCTGCCACGGCTCCCTGCGTTATTAGTGCCCGTTCTCACAGGGCGTTCGGCTCCCAGCGCGCAAACTTACCGCTTGCTCATTGCGCATCCCGACGTATTTAATGCCCACCTCCTGGGCCGCCACGGCGACCTCGATCACCGGGATGCCCACGACGCCGAACATGTACTCCACACGCTGGGGGCCAGAAGCGGGGGGTGAATGCCGGGGCCCCCCCAGGGGCCTCCTCCCCCGGCACGCGAAGGCGGCCTCCCCGCCGGCTCGCTCCCCCCGCCCGCCCCCGACGCGCCCCGCGTCTCCAGGGCAACCGCGCGGCGCCCGCCGGCTTCCGTAGGCGCCCCCGCGCCGGGGTCACCGCCGGGGTCACCGCCGGGGTCACCTGGGCTCGCAGGGCCTGGGCGAGGACGGTGGCGCCGGCCACCTGCCCCGCGGGGTCGCTGCTCGCCATCGTCCGTCCGGGAGGGGGGCGCGCGCGGCCGGGAGTCACCGAGCGAAAGGACACCCCGAAGGCTGCGGCGCCGGGCGCGGGAGCCCGGCTGACGGGCAGGGGGGCAGCCAACCGCCGCCGCGGACGGGGGGAAGAGGCGGGCACAGGGCCTGGGGCGGGGGCAAAGGGCACACGTCCCGCTCCAATCAGAGCCGGGCCCTCCCCCGGCGCCCCCTCGCGGGGTGCGGGTGCCAGGAGGAGGCGGGACTGGCCCGACGCAGTGGCCCGGCCGCGGGTGAGAAGCCGGACCTCGGAGGCCGCTGGCCGCGCCCATGCGACCTTCTCCAGCCTTTGGGCCACCACCGCGGGCGAGCGGCGCATGCGCGCGGAGGGGCGGCAGGTGCGCGGGGCGGGGGGCGTGGCCTCGCGCTCCAGGCCCCGCCCGGGGGTCCGCGGGGGGGGCGGGGGGCCTGGGGGCTGGGCCTTGAACTCGTCTTTGTGTTGTGTTGTCTTGCTTCGGTGTGTCTTCGTTTTCCAGGGTTCTGCTGCACGCTTTTGGAGTCATATTTTTTTAATTGTTTTTTAATTTTTATATTCCCCATACAATTGCAACCCCCTTATTTTGACCCCAAGCCCTCCCCTCCCCTCCCCGCCCCTCCACCCCCCATAGAGTGTCTCTGGTTCATAGTTGTTTGTTGATTTTGGTTTTCACTTTCTTATAGTTATTCATTTTCCTGGTCCCTTATTTAAGTTTTCTAGATTCCTGCTATGAGTGAGACCACCCGGTATTTTTCTTTTTCTTTCTGGCTTATTTCGCTGAGCATGGAGTCATGCTTTCTTAACTTTGTGGCTGCGCAGCCCATAAAGCGTAGTCATACCCTCATACTGTTAGGGGAGGGGAAGGATGTCCTAGCTGCCCTGTAACAATACCCGTTGTTGAGCTCCTTAAGTGAAGGTGTACTCGACCCCCATGTTATAGTGAAAGGGAACTGCTAAGAAAAGAAATCTTTCCCTGTTAAAGAGTCATAGACCTGGAAATGTAAAGGTAAATAATAAGTTTGCTTCCTTAATCAGCATATCTAAACAAGGTCTGGCAGCCTGCTAGGCTAGTTGATCTCCCAGGCCTTGCTGGAAGATCTGTATCCTTCCCCTTTTCCTGTGTCGAGTTTGTATGCTAACTAACCAACTTTATCCAGGTAAAATAGTTGTGTAGAAAAGAAACTCTTTGTCTCTAGACCAGACCTTATGGGACTTCCCAGGTCTGAGACCTCATGCATGAGTAATAAGCTTTCCTCACCATTCCTGAAGTACCGCTGGTTCTTCCCCTGCCTGGGTAAATGGACTTGACTTCTGCAACATTAGAGGAGAACCCAAAGTTTCCAAGCAAGAGGGAAAGTAGCCTGCGCAGTGACTCGACCCAGAGCACGCTTCAGACTCTGCCAGCAGCGCAGAGGTTGCAAGAAATGAGGGCCCGTGAACATGTTACTGTTGTGCTTTGTGTTCTCTAACCCTCGCTGATAAGTCACGTTACTCTCCATTGTCTTTCCAAAGGCAGGGAATGTGCGTTTCCCTAATTCTTAGGTTCTTTGTCTACAACCAGCTCCTGCACCCAACAGCCTTTTCAAACATGTTTTTAAGTGTCTTTTAAGTTTGTTTGTTTTTTGAAGTGCTTGTTAAAAGGTTCGGCAGGGAAGTCGTGGAGGGAAGAGTCGAGGACGACAGAATAAGTTTCAAAGGGGGTTTTATTGCGTTCCTGGGCGAGCTTCACGGAACCAAGGTCGGGGTCGGTAAAGCCGCGCCTATTGTTAGGGGAAGGCAGGTTTTTATAGGATGGGAAGAGGGAAACCGGGTTTGCAAGTAACAGGAACTGTTGTTTTCTGATGGTATCAGCAGGTCCTCATTCTCGCCCCTAACGTGGGCTTCCTCTTTTCTCGCCCTTAGGTGGGCTTCCTACCAGATGCCTTTTCGCCCTAGTAACTCTGGTTTCCCGTCAAACCTTTAACTTGTGCAATTTCTGAGGCTGTTGTGGAGCAGCCTCCTCAAGGTCATTAGTTTGTTACTCAGTGGCAATAAACAGAATCTCCAGTCATAGCAGAGTAACCTTAAATTTTCAAAAATTTGGAGTGCTTTACAGCAAAAAGAGAAGTAATATGTGGAAGGTAAAGCAACAAGAAGGAAGGGGGAGCAGATCCTGGGTGGTGGAATGATAAATACTAGAAGTGAAAGGATTTATACGTCAGAGATGTTCAAACCATTGTCTTGGGCCCTTCCAAAAGATCTCCCCTTCTGCATTTCATCTTCTAATCTGATCCCAAGCAAAAGAGAGTGAAATTGTTACCTCCCTGGATATGGGGACCTAGCAAATTTAAGAAGGGGATTTCTTTGACGTCTTAGAGTTCAACTAAAAATAAATGGAGATCTTGCATTCTTCTCCTGAAGGTATCCATATTTTAGTATAAAGACGGTCTTTTTATTGAGGTAACATAGCGTACAAATTATGCAAAAATTTAAATGTTAGGTGAGTTTTGACAATTATATATATTTATGTAACTGTCATCCAAAATTAAAATGACTTTTTAATATTAATTTATTTATATAAGCACTGGGGTACAGGCCAGAGGCGTGGCTAGGTGAGAGGATTCACCAGAGACAGTGCGGGGAGCAGAACAGGCAGAAGGACCTACATACACTGCTGAGGAGAGCAGCGGGTGAGACAGGAGAGGTCTGCTGCGCCATGCGGGAATCTCTCTGGCTGGCCGGGATCAAACCAGCACTGCAGAGGCTGTGGACAGCTTCATAGCCCTGTGCTCAACCCTCTGCTCCACCGGCGAGGCCCTAAAATGACATTTTAAGCTATTGAGCCATCAAGTAAAATTGACAGTTTGTAAAGATTTAAAATGTTCTTGATGTGGCTTTAGCACTGTGCATGGATCCCACCCTCCTCTTCTTGTAGATCCCTAGGAGTGGAATTGCCAATACCTGAAATTTTTAAAAACTGTTACCTAGTTTTGATTTGCTGCCCTAGTTGAGACTGCTAGCTCTGTACCCATTCTGGAGCCATGAGTTAATAATTTAACGTATGATTGCCAAAATAGTACTGTTGATTAACTTGCTCTTACAGACTTAAGACTGGTTTGACTTGGGCAATGTAGGCTATATAGATAGTAGTAGTTCGCTGTGCTTTCTGTCCACTTATGTGTCAAAAGAATCAATTGCAAAGTCATTCAGTATAAAGTGTGATGAAATTGAAACAAGTCCCCTGATTTCAAGTTAGTTTTACAAAGAAGATAAATTCCCAACTGACTGGATTCTGCCCTTTAGCAAAGGCAAAAGTCAGTGAGATTGTTTCAACTTGCTCTCACCTTTATGCCTCCAGTTCAGGGTGCAGTGTTCCACTGTTCACTTGGGTCTGATGGTTCAGCAGAAGTGATACAAACCCCCACTCCAGGTTCAGCAGACGCCAGGGCAACTTCTCTCAATCTAGTGGTGATCACAGGAATCCATGATTCTTTTGTAATTTATACAAGGCCCTTTTAAGACTCTGTAAGCATGAACCACAGTCCTTATTACTTTCATTGCCTTACATGTGGAATTTTATTGGTGGATATTATATTGGAGTTTTATTTGTTTTTATTTGTGAAAGGAGGTCAAAGAGGACTAAATCTAATTTTTTTTAAAAAGGCTACAGTACCAATAATATGCTCTCAACTAAGCAAAGCCAGCCCCCAAAGAGTCTTCACGAAGTTTACTCTATTTGTGGGATCTAGACCTGAGATTATGAGTTAATTATTGACTTTCTTCTATTGGGTGAAGAGAATATCCAGTCATGTAGGTAATTTTATAACAGTTGCAAATATAGTGCCTGGAGAAAATAATATTCTTTAAAATTTAACACAGGCAACTTCCACAGTAGCAATTCCTTAGTCCCCAAATTTGTGGTAGTACCTTTTAATTTTAGCAAACTCACAAGGACACTAAAAATCTTCATGATTATTTAAAAGCCTAATACAAATGTTTTTATCAAAATATGAAGTGTTTAGTTATGGAATGAAGAAATGAATTAAGATTATTTGTGATACATCATAGAATGTCTGAAAATAAAATAACATTGGCTGAAATAAAAGACAAAAACAAAAATTGAGTATCTTAAATTCAAAGAACAAGCAGTAATAAGAAAAGAAGGAAAACTTTTTAAAACCAACATGGAAAACTGTACAGCAAGAAATGTGCCAAAGGAAACAGCAGGAAATAAAGCAGGTTAAAGAGATTTTGTGTGCTTCTCATAAAGTTTGTGGGCTGTAGTGGATCAAAGCTCAGAGAGAGGCTTGAAGCAAAATTGGTGAAAAGCAGCCTGGCTAGTGTGCCTTCAGGGCCAGATCTGATGTGATTCTTCCAGCTACCTGTGACCTAGAGAAGACTTGGGTCTCTGCCCATGACTTGGCTAGCAAGTCCTGTAGCTTTGCTCTGCATTCTAATGCTAGTGAGAGTCAGGGCTGGAGCTGGGAGCCCTCTGGATTAGACACTGAAGGAACATTTTCCTGTTTTAGCATTGCTGTCTTCATTCATTGTGTTTTTTAAAGCAAAATTTGGGTTTGACTCTAGTAATAGTCAAATCTCCACAAAGGCTGTGTGCTGTGTATAGAATGCTTTGGAAATGGTGACCCGTCTGTGTTGTGCTATGAAAACATGAGGTTTATCTCAAATGGCTTAGAAATCATATTAGAGGATTTTTCAGTAGGACAGAACCTCACACTTAGGGTGACCCTTGAGGTGGGGGGGTGGACAGGCAGCTAGCTGTTGCCTGTGAAACGTTCTTTTGCTGGTTTGTCTCCATTTGTTTCTTCTTTTTTGCCATTAGCCTCTATTTCTCCCCCATTCCTTTGTTGTTTGTTTATATTTTTTATTTTTTGAAAGATTTATTTATTATACAAGACCGGGGTACAGGCCAGATGTGCAGGAGGGTGAGAGGATTCACCAGAGACAGAGCAGGGAACAGAACAGGCAAAGTGACGAAATACACTGCTGAGGGGAGCAGCGGGCGCGACAGGAGAGGTCTGCC